AACAGTTTGTGGCCGAGCCACCGATTTCTCGAGTAGGTTGGAGGCGATCAAGCCAAGTTCGCACAGCACAACAAACTTTGGCACACTTTAAACTTTAAACACACTCAATTAGATAAAATAAAATGTTTAGCTAACTTTTATACCGGCCCTGCCCTCCAGTTCGTAGGGATCAGGACACAGCTTGACCCAACGGGCCAACTTTTTTGACTAGCTGAAAAATGTTTGAGAAGCAGCAAAAAAAAACCAAAAAAAAAAAAAAAGAGCACAAAGTTTTATACAACTTTTGGCAATTATCTTGTGAGCCAAGTCGGTCCATAATCATATAGCCTATGCCTGGTTTATATATCTGAGTGCTTTACTATATATATGTATATATATATTCTGGAAATTGCGCCTGTTTTGGCCACTGCAGCCTGTCAACAACCAATCACTAACAGCTGCAGTTGATGCCAACTATTTTTGTTATTTTCAAATGGACACCAAAACAAAAATCTCTCCAAGGCTGGATAAACATTTACAAAAAAGTATTTTTAAGGCCCATTTTGTATGCCGCTCCCCACCCTGCCCAAACTTAATTGTGCCAATAATGTGTTGGCTCTAATCCTTTAAGTGCTCTTCAGATGGCAGTCCGTTAAAGTTTCATTCTTGCTTTCCTTTGGTATTCAGCATTTTTGGCAAAAGCTTTCAACTCCTGCTTAGTTTTGAGTGTGTGAAAAACACACTTGAGGAAAACTACGCTCTACTGCATTTAGAAATTGCATTGTTTCTTAGATTGAACAAAAAGCTCTTTAAATCTTGTTTTATTATATAAATTTATATATAATATACTTTGTTATTTTTATAGAATAACTAAGAAAAAACATTAGCTCTTAAAATTTCAAAAATATTAGTAATAATATTTCCTACTGCAAGTTTTAAGAGTACTTTAAGAGAGCATAAAGCCCCTTTCCAAATCGTTCTCTTTGACTGGAAACTTCCAGAGCGGGTCGAAAGAGAGCCAATGCCGTATTCATTTTCGAACATAAACATCAGACATCTGTGAACAAACACCAACAAAGCTCATGGGGCCAAAAAAACATGGCCAAAAGGTGCATCCAAAGCGCATAAATAACAACAACGACAAGATAGACTGGCAGGCAGGTGACGAAAGTAGCAATATTGTCATAGGAAAACGGTGAAACAGAGGGTTAAATTGGGTCATCGTGAGGTATGCTTAATGTCTTTGCCACCGGATTTAATGAGCCCTAGCTTGCATTTCGTTTTTTTGTTCCCCACCTAGAAGACATCAAGCCAGATGAAAAGAGCTAAAAAGAAAAAGAACAGCAGTGGATGCCGGCAGATTCTAATCAAAGAAAGTAAGTGTCTGAGCGCTATCAAAAGAGAAAATATACTATATAAGAGGCTGCTTACTGCTCGGCGTATTTGCTCGACTTGGCACTTTTCTTCTCCATTCCTTTTATTTTTTTTTTGTTAACAAGTTTCTTACACTATGACTTGGCCCGGCTTATACAGTCAACTTTTGTTATGGCCAGGAGAGAAAAAATGCATAGGGAAAGCAAAAAAAAAAAGTGCAAGAAGCGAGAAGAGACGCATAAAAACTTGTTGAGATTTATCTTGCCACACGCGAAGAACGCTGCAAGTTCCGCACTCAAGCACCTCCACCGCCAGCCAACCGTCATCTAACTGCATTAGACTGCTGCTGCTGGCGTTGCATATTCACGGCGCATATGCCAGTTTATTTATGGACCTGGCTTCTGCCAGTGAGAAGCATTTAAGCGCCTTAAAGTAGGCAACGCTCGCAGTATTTGCGCCGCAACTTCTTGCCATTTGTTGTGGCACATGTCCTTGGTTCTGTCGCTACCATCTCCCTTGTGATGCGTTGGCTTACATTATGAAAATCCATGGCAGCGACAGCCCTCGACTGACTGAGTGGATACAATAACGAGCTTGAGCTTAGATAGAGGAGCAGTAGAGACTAGTCATTAGGAAAACCATGTGGGTCAGCGATTTCATTTTCGGAAGCTCTAAGGACTAACCAAGACCCTTGCAACCAGCTTATGACATTGTTGATTCAGGTGTGTGCTAAACACAGATCCTTAAAACCAGGTAAGGCTTTAATGCATTCATAAATTTTAGTCCCTTATGACCTTAAGCTCTTTTTTTTTTTTTGAAGGCAATCATTTTTAATTAAACATGTTTGAAGAGCCTAATGTGAAGTATTTCAAAAATTGTGCCCACTTCAATGCGAGTCAGCTGTCCACAAACAATAAGCCACATGTTGAAACCATAGAGCAAACAAAATAAATAAAACAATAGGAAAATACATAAACCAAAGGCATACCGATGCAATTCAAAACGAAGCATGGTAAACCAGGCGTTTAAATATTTGCCACTATTGGAGAAGCAAACTGGGTGTTATGTTTTGACATCTATTGTGGGTGAAACAATGGAAACGACGTATCTTATTCCACTTCCCCATCACTAAAAAAAGTTAGAATAAAATGTAAAAGGATTTGTTTAGGCCAAATATCTAACGAAGTTAATATATACTCTACCTTACCGTAGTAAATTTCCAAAAAATATAGAACTGGGAATATTTGTTATAAGTGCTATAACAAAACATCTTTATTTATCTATATTATATAAATTTTTCCATTGTTTTTCTTATGTAATTCTGAAATAACTAGTGATTGTTTTAGGTAACTTTTCCCCAGGCCATCTAACCATCGATACTTAGAACACTTTTTTGCATTTCAACTGAAGGACAATGAAAATGGTGTCAAACAACTGTTGAGTGTGGACACCATGGATGCATCCTAGCTGAGCAGCAGCAGTTTGTATTTGTTAGTACTCAAATAACCGGAAGCGATACAATGAATCCGCAACAGGACGAGGGAAAAAAACAACAGTCTAAAATCACCAAATGCAAAACGGAAAAGTGAAGCAAAACAAATCGAAACGAGAACAGAGTGTGCTGCTCCAGTTGAGAAGGAGCCAAGCTAAACTATCAATAACACTTAAAAGCTTTTTCAAATATTTTCCATTTGTTTTGTTTTTTGTCTATTTGCTGCATTCTATGTGCATTTGTATGTTTTTGGAGCACCATATTTATTATTTTCTTCTATTTATTACTGCAAATGTTTTTCTCTTTCCTCGTCTCGGGATATTTAAAAATGCAATTTAGTTCGTGTTGAAATGTTGAATATGCCACGCTGGGGAGCGGAAGACCAACGTCATGATATATTTGCTGCGCTGCATAAGTATTTCAATATTTATTGATAAATATATATGTATACTTTGGGTTGCAAATATTTTTTTAGTTCAGGAAAATTGTTTGCTCTGCCGGGAGAAAGCCATCGGGGAGCCAGCCTGATTTTAAATGTGTGGGACTCTTTATTTTTTGATTAAAAAATATTTATTCATCCACTCAACTAAAAGAAAAAAAATGTGCACATTCGGCTGATAAAATGTAACGTCTTCAGGGGTTATTCAATATAATAAAATATTAAAATTATTATGAATGTTTAAGCTATATTTAAATTCCACAAAAGTAAAGACAAAATGAACAGTATTTAAATGGCGATTTAAACTCAAAAAAAAAAAAAAAATTATTCAATAAATCTTCGCATATTTAATTAATATTAAATTGAAAACGCAATTAGTTTCACCACGAATGAAGAACGCGTTCATACGCTTAATCATAGTTAATAGTATGAAATACTTTTTAAATAAAAGTGTTAGAGAGTGGATCCAGCTTAAAATGTACCTTGACCATTTTTTTACAGCAAGAGGGGTATTTATATTAACAACTGTTTTTTCATTTAAAGGGCTTTAGTTAATCATACTTAGTAAATAGTAAATATAATGTGACAGGACATATTATGGGAAAACAAGGATACTTATAACATGGATACTTATAACACCTTAAAAATCGAGCGGATTTAGCCTTGGGTGAAAAACCTGTTAGATGTTTTAAAGCATACGTCAGCATTTAGCCCAGAATAACGAAACCATTGCATCCTTTTAGGCGCTGAGTGGGCTTTTGTGCACACATGTAGGGTTTTACAGATATAGATCTTTATGTGGAAATGGTCCTCCTGGCTCTGCCTCTGTCTGACGTTTTATCTGACCGAGCGGGTCAAGCATCAGTTCATTTTATTGACATAAATGTTTATGTTTATTTGTCTGCGTTTAAGCATTACTGTTTATTGTATTGTTGATCCTGCCAGAGCTGTTGTTGCTTTCGTGGACATGAAGGCAATAACAACATTGTGCAAATACACAAAAGTCGAATGTGTTTTACAAGTGTTTGTATGGTGCCTCATTCTCAAAATAAAAACCGGTTTGTTTGCCCATCAGTGGGCAAAGATAATGAGTTTTTAAAATTAATTTAATTAATGCTTTTGTTCTAGCAGTTTAAAAGCGTATAATTATAATAATTCATACTGTTTAACTATTTGTTCTCGATTAAAAACTTGTTTATTTTAATAGAGAATATTTTCTACCAATAGTTCTCTTTTAATCCAGTTGATAAGTATTTAATCCGAAATATACATAACAATTTTACAGTGTCTTACAGTAAACTACATTTACCTATTTCTAATACGCTCTTCGTTCCATTGAGGAAGTTTATCCCGCTTTTTGAAGCTTTTAAAGCTTTTAAGGTTTTGAGACATCAACACAGAAGTCATTACGAGCCCATACTTCTATTATTTTAAAAAATTATATCAGATGTCTAATTTAATATTATGACAAGAGAACAAATTATATTTATTTTGCTGTTATGTCCTAATAAAAAATGTTAAATTGATAGTCAGTAAAAGTCCTTGTATTTCTTATAAAATTAACACTATTGAAAGTTTAATGTTCTTAAATTAAGTAATGTAAATTTTCCGAATTTTGAATATCAGCGGCTATAATCCATTTTATCGATATTTTAACCGATAGTCGATATTTAGTAGGACCGTATTAACGGCCACGACTTACCCAGCTCTGAAGATTTGAAGAAGAAGATTTGCCAGCAGGGAGACGCAGAAACTATACATTATATATAGCAAATATATAGTTTCCTGCAAAATTGCAGCCAACAAGGAGTCCAGTGGTTACATTTCCAGCACTCCCGAACACGTCCAACTATGCAGGTGAGTCATTCAAGTTTGTGGAAAGGTACGTTGGCGAAGGGACACGCCAGCTATTGAAATATTGAACAGGATTACTAGACCAGAATGTAACCACGATTATTTTGCAGTCCCGGGCTGTAGCTAGGCCATGGCTGTTAATGGTCTTGCTGGTGGCCCTCGTTCTGGTGACCGACTGCTTCTACGTGCCCGGCGTGGCGCCGGTAGAGTTTGTCCAGGACCAGAAGATCGATGTAAAGGCGGTAAAGATGACCAGCAGCCGCACCCAGCTACCTTATCAGTACTACTCGCTGAAGTTCTGCTATCCCAAGAATGGCACCCTGATTTTTAAGTCGGAGAATCTGGGCGAGGTGCTACGCGGCGACCGGATTGTCAATACACCCTACGAGGTGCGGATGAATCAGCAGGTTAACTGCCGCCTGCTCTGTAACCAGAAAGACAGACCGCTCACCTGGAGCAAGGCGGACTCTGCTTTAGTGGCAGAGCGCATCCAGCACGAGTACTTTGTACATCTGCTGGTGGACAACCTTCCAGTGGCCACGCGCATCGTTAGCGTTAACAATCCCGCTGAGGTGACCTACGAGCACGGATACCGCTTGGGTCAGGTGGATGGGGATAACATCTACATCAACAACCATCTGAAGTTCATACTATCCTACCACATGCACTCCAAAGATAAGTACCGCGTTGTTGGATTCGAGGTGGAAACGGTATCAGTCAGTCACAAAGAGCTTAAATTTCATGGGGACACATGCAATTTTCCGGATAGCGCCCGGCCGCAGTTGGTCAATCCCAACGGAGAGACCCAATTGTACTTCACCTACTCTGTAGAGTGGAAGGAATCTAAGGTGAGCTGGGCCTCGCGATGGGACATCTACCTAGGCATGCGAGACGTCCAGATTCATTGGTTCAGCATCATAAATTCGCTGGTGGTGGTCTTCTTCCTCTCCGGAATTCTCACCATGATCATGATTCGTACACTCCGAAGGGACATTGCTCGTTACAATACTGATGACAACATTGAGGATACGTTGGAGGAGACCGGCTGGAAGCTGGTGCACGGCGATGTCTTCCGTCCACCCAAGAACACTAGACTGTTTTCTGCAATAATCGGCAGTGGCATTCAGATCTTCTTCATGTCGCTGATAACCATCTTCTTTGCCATGTTGGGCATGCTTTCACCTTCGTCACGAGGTGCCCTTATGACCTCCGGCATATTCATGTATGTTTTCATGGGAACCATCGCAGGATACTACGCAGCCCGTCTTTACAAAACAATGAAGGGTCGCGAATGGAAACGAGCAGCCTTCCTCACGGCAACGCTCTATCCAGGCATTGTCTTTGGGTAAGGAAAGCTAAGTTTCAAAATAATTCAAAAACTAATTTACAATTTATTTATCTGCAGCACTGGATTCTTTTTAAATTTCTTCATCTGGGACAAGTCTTCTAGCGGTGCCGTGCCCTTTACCACCATGATTTCACTGTTGCTGCTTTGGTTTGGCATATCAGTGCCTCTGGTCTACCTAGGTTTCTATCTGGGTTACCGAAAGCAGCCGTATCAACATCCAGTGCGCACAAACATGATTCCGCGGCAAGTGCCTACACAGCACTGGTATATGAATGCGGTCTTGAGGTGAGTAGACTTCTTTCAGTGCACTTCGGTTTGCTAATTGATATCCTACCGCATCTTTGCAGCACTCTAATGGCTGGTATCTTGCCTTTCGGCGCCGTCTTCATTGAACTATTCTTTGTGTTCACTGCCATCTGGCAGAATCAGTTCTACTACCTATTCGGTTTCCTATTCTTGGTTTTTTGCATCTTGGTTGTAAGCTGCGCCCAGATCTCTATAGTTATGACATATTTCCAACTTTGTGGCGAGGTGAGACTGGTTTGTATGGTTTTAAAAAAGATAAATTTAAAATATTTGTAATTATAGGACTACCGCTGGTGGTGGCGCAGTTTCGTTGTATCTGGTGGCTCGGCCGTCTACGTGCTTTTTTATAGTATCTTCTACTTCTTCACAAAGCTGGAGATCACAGAGTTTATACCGACGCTGCTATACTTGGGCTATACGGGTTAGTTATTTAGTAAAGTTTTCAATAATTCCTTAATACAACATATATTTAAATGCAGGCCTAATGGTGCTAACTTTCTGGTTGCTAACCGGCTCGATTGGTTTCTTCGCTGCCTACGTTTTCATTCTGAGAATCTACGGAGCTGTGAAGATCGACTAAAGAAGCTGTGTCATCCACTCACCACGCTGTACACCAAACTATCCTTGCAATATCATTCGATCATAAATATATTTATAGAGCAACTGTACCACGTCTGCGTCCAGCTGCAAAAATCAAAACAAACAAAAATTAAAACTAAAAAGAAACTCGACGACTCAGCCATGTGAGCTAACTTCCCCTTCTTGTCCCAGCTTCAAAAAGCACCCAATGAGTAACCACTTACTAAGTCAAAACACGATATTCGCATGTATGTCTTGACCCCTGGAAGTGGCTCGATTTGCGAGAGCGTTGCGTTTTAGAATCAATCTAGAAATGCCTAATTTATATATGTATGTAAAGAATCTAATCTAAGAAACTGATATAAAAACAAACAATTAAATAAACTAAGCTTAATGTAAAACACCTGCAAGTGTCAATTTCGTAGTAGAAATCAAACCTTTTTCTTGATTGCACACTTTCGGGTTTAAGCTCAGTTGAATTTAGGGTCTCCATTTGGCTAGTTCACTGAGTTTAGTGATAAATATGAGTCACTTTTTTTATCACACTCTAATGGCAATCATTTATGTCTTTTTTTATCAACACCTCTATAGTGCGGGAACACTTGGAAGTTATAAAGTAAGATTCTTTTTTTGAAAGGTATATAAACCTAATTATATTGCTTCTTTAGGTACGAAGTACTGTGAAGACACGAATAATGTCCAATATCAGCATGACTTTGTATTGGTTTTTTCAACCATACATCCCATTTGAAATGGTGAAAGACGAAGCCGAATGGGAGGCAATCGGTGGTGGCGAAGAGACTCAGGAGTTCGCTTACGACTAAACTAGATAGTGGTGATATCAAATTATTACCTTTTGTCATATTCCAATAATATAAATTAAAAAACCCAGAAAATCTTTCTGATTTTATAGTTACAATTACATTTAATTGCATAGATTATTAAATTAATCGGTACATATAATTGCGTTTAGTATTTTACACATATTAGGTTTAAAACATTATGTAAGTTGTCTATATTAGATCGTATACACGTTTATGAAATGGGTGCTGACCAGAGCTAGTAGTGCCCATTACTCATTAGTTTAGTTCATCTATTTTTGCTGAATAGGTAAGATCTCGAAGCAATAAGTGAGGTCATCACAATCAACAAAGACAACGTTTGCTGTAACACAGATCTAATGCTACTATCAAAGAATACTTAAGATTCTTGATTTAACTGTTTTGATTTTCGGTACCTTCACTTTTTTGCTTAAGAAATCTTAACTAGATTACTATCAATGCAGGAATATCGAAACTGTACATCGACTTCCATTTCCAATGATCTGAAGTCAGTTCCAATTAGGCACAAACTAAGGATGGTAAACGAAGTTATTAGGTGTACATTTCAATATTATTCTTTGCACAACACATATTGCTAGAGAGTGATTTACGATTACTTAAGAAATAGATTAGAGTCTAGAGACCGTGCGGGAACAACCAAACAGTTCACTGTCACTACCTTCTCCTCCTCATCCTCATTCTCATCCTGGTTCTTCTTCTGGTCCTGACGATAATCCTTATCTGTTGGACGCATCCATCTCCCATGGACCTCTGTGGAAAAGTGCGTTTTGACATGGTTGCGAATCGGTTTACCTCATTGGGTTCCGATTCTTTAAACGCTAGCGATTCCGCTTGGTCTTGCGACTAACATTGCCCTCGATGATAATCTGATTGCATGCAAAGTAAAAAATTTGAATTGGAATATGGAGATGGAAATTGTGACTCTAGTCGAACTGTATGAAGTCGGTTAGATTGCTTTTCCAGTTGGATGAATTTATAGTATAGGGACACTTGAATTGCTGGGAGGGGGAAATAGGTCTGGTTGTTAGGATGGGTTAGATTGGGGTTACTCCGGCACCGGCTGTTCTACCTGAAGGATCTGGCTGGCCTCAAAGGCTGTGCCCGGTAACAGGATCACCGGAGAAGTAACATTGCCCGCCTCCACGCACAACATGTTGGGGAACTCATCGTCCCCGAAGTCACTCATCTCACGCGATCGATCGATCCAAGGATTCCAGATGACTAAAAGTAAATGTGTTTATTCCTTGAAATCATCCAGAACTTTGCTTTGCTCACCCGTATCCGGAAAATTGTACTTGTGCAGTCTCATCTTACGGCCGGACACGACATTCGTAATAACGTGCTCCTGCGGCGTATGTTGGTAGATTCTGTCAGTCCATTCATTAACGGTCACCACTTCACGACCTTCCTGATAGAGTGAATTCTCCCGCGTCTTGTCGATGAAGTGGCAGCCTTGGAGACCAGTAATTTGACACCTCCGGACATCGGGCACCTTTAGGTAAGTGTGCAACAACATGTTAAAGGTGAAGCTCAGCTCCTTGCTCGGGTTATAGACGCCGATGTGGAAGTGGAGCTCCTTTTCGCGCAGGATCAGCCGATAGGTGATACGGAACCTTAAAAGTAAAAGGAGTCAGTCAGCTGATTAACCAATATAAGCTGCAACTCTTACTGATAGTTCCAGATAGATCGCGTAAAATCGTTGTCCATCAGCGAAAAAATTGCCTCCACATCGCCATTATGCAGCCTGTCTGGCGGTCTCTCCAGATGCCACCGAGTAATCCTCGCAAATCCATGTTGAGGTCCAAAGGACCACGCGCCGAACTGAGCTGTAATTATTGGAAAACATTAGCTAAACGCAATTTCAAAGTTCCTGGATCTTGGCAAACTTACGAAAGACAAAGGGAATCCCACCGCGTATCGCCTTCTTGCCATCGAAGGAGGCCAGTTTGCTGCGGGAAGGACAAGATGGTTGCAGAGAAAAGACTCGATTAATTCGGTTAGACGCTACTCGAAAATATTCCAGTCATAAAAACGCTTGCAGACTAAGACAGACATTCAGAAATTCAGAAATGCTATTAGCAGAAAAAAGTGTCTGGCAAAATGCTTCTTGCCCCTTTTTTTCGTGTTTTGTTTTTTTTTCTCCTGTCGCTGAGGATGACGTTGCCCCGAGTTGGGACTTGCCTTGAGTTTCGTCTCAGCTAATTTGCCGACGCATCCATCAAGCAGTTCCTTTTGCCCCTGGATCTACCTAAGCTGCTGATTCCGCTTCTCCTTTAGTTGCTCTGCGTCATTTGTAAACGCTTTCGGCTGTGGAACGCATTTGACATGGCAAATTTCATTAATATTCTAGAGATTTTTGTTCGGAATTTGGCACGAAGTGGAATCACTTTAACTCTTTCGAATAGTTTTTTCATAAATATTAGTAAACTCATTTCATTTTCTTACAACTGGAAAAATTAACTTCTTAAACTAAAATATTTTAAAAATACATTTAATTTTTTAAGTGCCTTTACATTTTCTGTTTATTTCGAAATAAACTTATTTAAGCCAGGCAGTCTTGAAAGAGGCAAATAATTAATTTAGTTTTCCACTTCCTTACTCTAGCCATGACCACTGCCAGTTTTTAGTGGGTTTCCCGAATGCCGAATGACTGTTGGCCACAAAAACCGTCGAAAACTTTCCAGCAGACGAATCAAAAAAGCAGCTAGGGTCTAATGTTCGTATGTATTTGTGTGTGGGAGCTAGCTGGCCAAGAGCCCGGGAATTGGCCGAAAGTAGATGGCCCAAGAACCACTGTGCCAAACGGAGGGCTCCCCATGTAGTGGGGATTTATCGATCTAGCTGGCCGCGCCAAAAACTCCATTCATAAAAACTTGCACATTGTTTTGCCACAAAAGGGGGAGGAACGGGGTTGGCAAAGAGCTAGAGAGCGGAAGGGGGAGGCCCAGAACAGGAGTAGGCAGCAACAGGGCGAAAAAAACGGCCATCAATGGAGGCAGCTCCTCTTGGTGCAAGTGCAACGGCTCCTAACCATCCCCGACCAGCCGCGCCCCTCTGAAGCCCCAGTGTTTTTGTATTTTTGTGTTTTTGCCTTTCGGTCGCTTTTGGTTCGGTTCGCTGGTTCGACGTTTGGGCCCGCTCGGTCCCGACGTGTTTTTTAGTTGGGTGTCATACAAAAACATTTTGCCGCCAAACAGAATGGCTAAGGCTGCTCCTGCCCAACCTGTCAGCCATCCCCACTTCACTCCACCACCATCACTCTACTTCACTTGGAAACTTTGCGAATCACTTTTTTGGTTGCATGACCAACGCACAGCACACCGTGGGCTTGCGTAAGTTCGGGCTTAAAGTTCGGCCGACGTGGCGTATGAGCAATGTTTAAAGGGTGCTAGCCGGCAAAGTTCAGTCCACTCACCTGACAAACAACTGCTCCTGATTGTTTACCCGCCACGACACAACTGTGGCACCTGCAAATACAAGGAAGGCAAATAATTGGCTTAATTTAAAAAATCGTTTTAAAAAAGTGTGGAAAGGGTTCGGAAGTAAATCAAACTTAAGCTAATATTGTTTTAAATTTCTATTTTTAAATAAGCATTGGGATGAAACCAATTAATGTTGGTTCTTAAAGTGTTTAAGCAAGTAATCTAATTTATAATAATAAATATTATTACATTAAAGTGAAACAAATTTGAAAAACTAGAATCCTAATTGATCTACACGGCTTGTATTGTATTAAGAAACCTAATGTAGATTCAGCAACTTCTGAACTTGTAAGTCAATGAATGAAATTGAAGCTGGGATCAACTGTAAGAATTACACAACAACAAACGGCAAAGCCAAGTACATGACGCACACACTTCTAACCCACATGGCCAACACACACTATGACAGTAAGTAACTGGCCTGTAAGTAAACTAACTGGCTGAGACCGAATCTCTGGTACAGTTAAAGACTGGGATATGGGTATGGTTATGGTTATGGTACGGCTATGGATCTGGGCATGACGATGGCCTACGGCCAATGGGTGGGTGAGCACTTGGATGCGTGGGCGGTGTTGGAGCTGCTGTTCCCAAAATCTCGCTCAGTTGGCCCCAATGTGCGGATGGGTCTTACAGCTATTATGATGCCTTGATTATTATGATTGGAAACAGTTTTTATGTAAAGTTTAGTTTAAGCGCACTTGAAAACGTATAATTAACATGGTTCGAATTGGATGTGATAAGATACACAGAAAAATATTTTTAAGTTCTTCCATAGAAAGTACATTCGGCAAAAGCTGTTTCTTTAGTGTAATTGTGATATAACTAAAATATCTATTTCAATTTTCAAAATGTATGTCTATTAACATTTTATATAAGCATTGAATATAAAAGAATATTTGAACTATAGAATAGTGAGTTTGTTCTTTCATGACTGACTGTTTTTTATTTCTTAAATTAATTTTAAAATAGTTTTTCTGGTGTTTACCCTTTTTTTTTGGGTGTACGATCTGCTGTCTGTGCCAAACGCTGTTGTGTCTCTGACTGTCTGACTGTTGCTCAAACGGCTGCGACTTGGAAACCAACGTGGGCAGGCCAGACACAGGCAGTCGTAATTGTTGAAAGTACGCTGGGTATACAATACACATAGGTGCTCATAGAGAGGGGCTGTACATACATACATATATATCTAAATACATATATATAACGCCTAATCGAAATGTGCTGCGAGTAGGAGCCCCATCGGCGGAGCTGGAAATGGATCTCTAAGCTCTAAGCTGGTCCAAAACCGAACCGAACTGATCCCCAGCGATTGTTTGGAGCATATATACCCCCTAAAACGATGAAGTGCCGCTACGATCTTGGCTGATAAGATAGGCAAAAGCTCTCCGGCGAAAAGGTATGAACAAGGTTGTTTCGAGAACGAATTGATAACCTCCAGAGGTCGCGAATAAGTCAATTTGGGGGCGAAACGGGTTTCGATTTTGGAAACTCCCAGGGAACGAAAGTCTAAGCCAATCATCTGCTAAAAATAACGCCAACAAATTTTTGGCAAAAGATTGCACAAAAACTGTTGTTGGATGGTGTTTTCGTTAATTATGATTAATTGTGGGTTTGTTTTTTTTTCCCTTTCTTTTTTATTAAGTTATTTTTTTCCGAAAAAAAAACTCTGCTCACCGTGCAAATTGATGGTACAGGTTGTATTGTTTCCGCGATCTAGAACAACTACACTGGTGGCGGCCATTGCCGCAGCTGTCGTGGCCATTTTTGATTTTTGTAACGGTAAAGGTATATCCGCCGGATCGCCTCAGATCCTTCCTGTAGGTGTGTGTTTGTGGGAGTTTTAGAGGAGTTTAGATATTTGAAAATCCAAAAAAAACTGTTGCTCCGTGGCAATTGAGGCAAGGCGATCTGGTTTCGTATTCAAAACTGGCGTCGATTGAACTTTAATTTGCGCATTTACATAATGTTTGCAAAAATTATTCTGCACACAAAGCACCGCACTCACACAAGCGAGCCCTCTCAAACACACACAGGGCACACACACGCACGCACAGAGCGCAGCTTGAGTTTTTGTCAATGAACAAATACGTATGGAAAAAACTCGTGCAAAAAACGTTCGAAAGAAAAGTGTCGTGATCCGGGCTTTGGATGTAGCTCCAACGAACGACCGATTGAAACTAAACCAGTTTACGCCAACCGCCTTTATTTTACCGGCCAATGTTAAGCCCTTAAAATGTGTAAATAGCCATAGTCGACTATGTAATGGTCTTTCTGGATCTTATTTTATAAACAATATGAAATAAAATAAAATATAATTTAATGGTAAATTAAATATTTTTTATGGATGCTAGCAAATATTGTATTGTAGTTTTAGTTTCATAAAAAGAGAAGATTAAATGAACTTCGAGATTTGTCAGTAACAAAAACCTAAATATAAATAAATAATTAATAACTATTCAAAGGAAACATAGTTTCTTCAAGATAAACAAATTAACCATTAAAAACAAATAAAATCTTTAAGATGTTAGCACCTTACAAATATATATGTAACTCCGATTTTGAACGGTGCTACGCAGAATCTTTGTAAGGTACGCCGTTAACCTGATGGACTTTAATGTTGGCAGAGAAAAAGCTTAAAATAATCATGTTAACGCAAAAACGAGCAACAGCTGATTGGAAATCGTCACCAACTTATCGATAGACAAATCAGCGTTGTTGTCCAATCAGAAAAAGTGTAGGCGGAGTGGAAAAGCATAAATAAAATCTTAAAGATGTAAGTTGCACTTCAGTTATACAGATACAAATGAATCTTTAAGGAAACACCACAGCTGAGCCATATTTTCTTCAAAATACCCAAACGATTACTCATTTGCAGCAATGTTGAGGCCGCGCAGTGTGATACTGAGATAACAAATCCCACGAGCAAGAAGAAGACCAGCCAAAAAAGAGCCAACAGATTAATAACATTATAGCACCTGAGCAACAGCAATCCCATAAATATGTCGCGCAAAATGGCTAAGTTTTACAAGCTGGATATCAATCGTACCGAGTGGGAGATACCGGAGACGTATCAGAACCTTCAGCCCGTAGGCCAGGGAGCCTATGGTCAGGTCTGCAAAGCCGTGGTTCGTGGAACAAGCACCAAGGTTGCCATAAAGAAGTTGGCCAGGCCCTTCCAATCGGCGGTGCATGCCAAACGCACCTATCGGGAACTACGGCTGCTCAAGCACATGGATCACGAGAATGTCATCGGTCTACTGGATGTCTTTCATCCTGGAAACCCCGCCGATTCACTCGAGCAGTTCCAGCAGGTGTACATGGTGACCCACTTAATGGACGCCGATTTGAACAACATCATACGCACCCAGAAGCTATCCGATGACCATGTCCAGTTTCTGGTGTACCAGATTTTGCGCGGACTAAAGTACATTCACAGCGCCGGGGTCATCCATCGTGACCTAAAGCCCTCGAATATCGCGGTCAACGAGGACTGTGAGCTACGCATCCTCGACTTTGGCTTGGCTCGTCCCGCAGAAAGCGAGATGACCGGGTACGTGGCCACGCGTTGGTACAGGGCGCCCGAGATCATGCTGAACTGGATGCACTACAACCAGACGGTGGACATCTGGTCAGTTGGGTGCATTATGGCCGAGTTGCTTACGGGACGCACCCTCTTCCCGGGAACAGATCACATCCATCAGCTAAACCTTATTATGGAGGTGCTGGGCACGCCCGCCGATGAATTCATGAGCCGCATTTCCTCAGAGAGCGCCAGAAACTACATCCGTTCTCTGCCGGTTATGCCGCGCCGCAACTTCCGCGACATTTTCCGCGGCGCCAACCCGCTGGCCATCGACCTGCTGGAGAAGATGTTGGAACTGGATGCAGACAAGCGCATCACTGCCGAGCAGGCGCTGGCCCATCCGTATATGGAGAAGTACCACGATCCAACCGACGAGCAAACCGCAGCACTCTACGATCAGAGCTTCGAGGAGAACGAGCTTCCAGTAGAGAAGTGGCGGGAGATGGTATTCAGCGAGGTGACGGCCTTCAAACCCACCGCCGCCTTCGCCGAGCTTCTGCCTAAGGAGCAATAATTCCGGTTGCTGCCCCTGTTCGTTCAATGATGCTATATACATTTAGATCAGTCTTCTTTACACCTAGTTCAAGCGGATGTGCTCTGTCGTGATTTCTCTATTCGTCGAGTGTAAACAAACGGAGATAATTATTCTAGAGCGATTTATATTTAGAAAGGCTTCAGTGGCTGGATTTAAACAATTTGTTTTGACCACAGAAGCGCACGTAAACATAAGGTGAAAATGTATTTTGTAACCTCCGATTCACACTCGATGAATACAGAAATTGTGGTTGAACTAGGAACCTAGTGCATATAATGTAGCGATTCGTAAATGTTTCCAACAATCAATCAAAGTCACAGCCTTAATGTCCAGTTCAACTTTAGATTTGGTGTCGGTTTTAACACGCAGTTCTTGTGAATAATCCTTTAAATGTGAGTGTACATGTACATCCTAGTTCGTAAGCGAACGCATCTCGCGGCCAGTAACTATAAAAAGAGCACTAGTGTCTACGTTGAATCCAAATAAATGTGCTATGTATTTTAAAAGAGGAGATCCTCCAAATAGCGTTCAAATTCCTGCTCTCTGGTGGTCTTCTCCTGACCGAGATCGGGTTGTTGTAGCCAAATTTGGTCGTCTGTCGTTGTTTCTTCAGTCGTCGGGTTATTGGTTTCTGGGTAGGACTCGCTAGCTGGTTCTTGAGTTACATCTTCCCCCTCGCTATCTGTGGAACTTTCCTGCTCTTCTTTTAGCTTGCGCCGTTTACGTTTCCGCTCGGCCTTTCGTTCCTCCCTTTCCCTGCGTCGTTGCTTCTTGTACTCCTTCTTTTTGGTACGATAATTAAGCTGATCCGTGTGCGTGGGACAAAGGCGCACCTATGGAAATACATGGAAATCAAAAGACAACTCTTAGTTACTGACCTAAACCTACCTTAACCAAGGCATTAAGGGGGGCTCCTTTTTCGATGTACTTGAAGTTCACCTCCCAGCTACGCAAACTCTCACGCTCCCCACAATGCCGACTGCCGCACTGAAACTGACCAATTCCGGTGACCACCTCCTGTTCTGTTCGCCACCGCAAAGCTATTTTGTTCTCCTTGTAGCGAGAAAGATCCGCTATACAATACTCCTTGAACAGTTTGTTGTAGTACCGGAGAGCCAAACGTTGCTCCCAGCTAAGGGAATCGGTTTCCACCTCATCATCCTCCCACAGGAAGCGGTGATTCTCCCGGATCACATCGATATCCCTTTTGTGGCGACGGGATTCCGCCTCTGCTGGAGAGTTAAGTACGTAATTATTGAGGATATAATTGTGTCGCTCTTTGGCCGTCAAATTGCTTAGATTAACTGGGAATAATTGCGACCCGCTCATAGTTTTGTTTTTGCCTAGAGATTTCGATTTTACGACGAGGCTTATCGATATTTCGAAAAAAAAACTGTCTTTTTGGCTTTTTTCACGCTCACTCATTTCTGTATGGATATGTACGGATTTGTAAAAAATATATATTTTAATTTATATTCAGCTCGCTTTAAATTACTTACAACAAAAAATGCATATTTATATTAACATCTTATTTTAAGCTTTGAGTATACACAAATTTTATAGCTAGATATTTTGTATTAATTATTTTGATCTCTGTTATCGGTAATTTCGGTAATCTCTACGAATATATACATATGTACATGTATATACATTTACTACAATGCATTGCATTGACTTGTGCACTCTTGATTGCGTTAAAGTTCGCTCCGTTCTCCCATAATGGTTTTGCCAGTGCGGTTGCCATGAAAATTTCGATAAATGTGAGCACAAACATTTAGCTCATCACAAACTAAAAAGTCAACGCCTCGTCACAACAATAGTAGTGAAAACTATAAGAAAAAGTTGGGGAAAGTTGTGGCAAATCAGAAATGGCTTGCAGTTGCAGCCCGCTGTTCTTTGTCTTTCTGCGGAAAAACCTACTGTACCTGCGATGCAATTATGTGCCGTTGTTTTTTATCTGCATGGGATTCGTCGGAGTCCTGACTGCTTACCTGCACTGGTCAACCAAGCCCGTCCAGTTCCAAATGGAAGAGTTTGAGGCCAAGAATGAGGTGAGTTATATGATATCACACGCCATTTAAGTATGTACGTACAAATATGAACATACAAATATACATATGTGTGTTTTCTAAAGTACACAATATAATAAAACAAAAAATTTGTTTGTATTCACAACGTTGTTATCTGCAATTTATATAAATACAAACCCATGACCGCGATTCAACGCTAATCTAATTATTTAACCCCCTTTTTTTAGATGGTGCTAAAAGAATCATACTTTCCCGGAAGTGAGGTAGACTATATTTATTATGCACCAAGCTCCCAGAATGTGGAGGACATTGTGGAACTCCTGCGGGTGGATCTGCTGATTATATCAGAACGTAAGTAAAAAAATGCAATCTGAAAATTGATAATAAATCAAACTTTATCTGGCAGGATTTCGGGCGTACAACAACAGCATACAGATGCAGCTAGACATGGAGCAGGAATGCCGGGCAAATTGCTTCGCCATCAACTTTAACCATGTGCCAGATCGCGGTTCTGGTGGAAAGTTTAGCTACAGCCTAAGTTCGAATCAGATGCGTATTTCGCCCAGGAAGCGCTACGTCAACGACGAAGAGATAAATCACCAGAAAGGTACGATCCACAATTGTCTGTTGTTCCCGTTTAACGAACCCGCTTTGTTCTTAATCAGATGACGACGATTACATTCGTGCCGGTTTTCTGACCTTGCAGCACGTCTTGGATAAACAATATATGAAATACCAGGAGCTGGTTGAAAACTACGAAGTTCTGGTCAGCTCTGTGCCCAATCTAGAGGTTATCAGTATGGATAGCCATCGTCTGACATATTTTGGAACTCTTTGTAGCATATTGTTCAAAGTGGTTTTACTGAGTACTTTTGTGGTGCCCTTTGTGGAGGAGAAGCAGAACGGACTAAAGGAGTTTCTCAATCTGGTTACGCCTATGAGTTTTCTCAACGGTCTTACATTCTTTCTCATTCGCTTTGTATGCTACACTGTTCTGATAATTATTGTCCTGGTGGTTGCTTATTTGTATAAGGCACTGGGAGTGATATACTTCTTCTATGTAGCGGTTTTATTTCTGCTTTACATTTTATCCACCATGTCGTACGCCTATCTGATCTCTGTTTGCTTTCATTCAGGTAAAGGTTAATTTCATATTTCTATACTATGTTTACTTATTCTTATATTTTCTTCTAGTTTTCTATGCCAAGATTGGCGGCCTGGCGTTGCTGATCATTCCATATGTGTTTTCTTTTGTTCGAAGCTGGGCGACATCCTTGGCCTTTGTCTTTTTTAGCACCAATACGTTCCTGGAGGGATTGGATATTTTCCAGACGTTTTGTAATAAACGTAAGGATTTCACTATTATGCTTAGATTTTACTTTGGATTCTATTTTGGTACATGTTTTCTTGTAGATCGTGAATTTGGTGCTGGGGAATTATTCCGAGAAATCAAATATGAATCCTCAAAGATGTTCCTGGTTTATGTTCTGCTTGTTTTTCAAACCTTTTTCTACGCCCTGCTATATAACTACTTGGGTTGTGTGTTTCCCGGACCTGGCGGACTAAAGCGTCCGATTTTCTTTTTCTTAGATGTAAGTACCAGACGAAAATTCGCAACGAGTGAAATTGATTTATTAACACGAATTTTTTTTATTATTTTCGGATTCTATTTTTGTTAACCGGGAGTATTTTCCATCATTGTTACTCGCCCTTAACGTCGGTTTAATTATTTAATTTATTTATTTAACTTTAAGTAAACTCTTTTTTGATTTGGTAATAATCTTTAATTTCAGTTACGTTTTCATAAAAAGATTAATGTCGGTTGTTTCGCAATTTTGTTAACGTTTTTAGTTAAATGGTACGAGTATGTCTTTAAATGTTTCTCTCTTGATTCCCAATTTCTATTTTAAATTTTAGCCCAAAACCTATGAGAAACGACAACGCAATGAATATACGACAGCACCTCGCGGCACACAAGCCATCATAATCACTGAATTGTGCAAAAAGTTCCAGACAAGTAAGCGTGAAACGCTAATTTCGGACAATTTAAATATGACAATCAACAACAAGGAGATTACTGTTCTTCTGGGCCACAATGGTGCTGGAAAGACCACGATGATGAACATGATAATGGGTTAGAATAGAAATACAATTTCTTTCTCGGCCAACTAATATTTATAGTAAATTTTTAGGATTGGTTCCGAAGGATTCGGGCAAGATAATGGTCTGCAGTGAGCGCGACGTGGCCTCCTATCGTCATCTTATTGGCTTTTGCCCACAACACAGTGTATTTATGAGCTATATGACGTGTCATCAGCACTTGGAATTCTTTTCCCAGCTTCGAGGAGCCCGTCGCTCCGATGCCCGTGATTGGGCAGATGAGAAGCTAAAGAAATTAGGACTTCGCGATAAGCGAGACGAATTCGGAAAGAATTTATCGGGGGGCATGAAGCGGCGCCTGTCTCTCGGTATCGCTATTGCCGGGAACACAAAGTAATTATAAAATCTATGTTGCGGAATGAACAGCTAAAAAACGTTTTCTAAACTCACAGAATTGTAATTCTTGACGAGCCATCCTCTGGATTGGATATAAACTCCCGCCGTGAACTCTGGGACATCCTGTTGAATCTACGAAAGGAGAAGGCTATTCTAGTGACCACCCACTACATGGAAGAAGCCGAGGTGCTTGGAGATACAATCTGCATATTGGCCAATGGCAAGCTTCAAAGCATTGGATCGCCCATGGAATTAAAGCGCAAATCCGGGATTGGCTATCGCTTGAAACTGGAAGTCGACGATTTTACATATCACGAACACGAAATAATGGAAATAATCCATGACTATGTTCCAACAGCCCGAGTTCTGGTAAGAGAGTGAATATATAATATTAATTTTTTTGATTTGTGCTTAAATGAATTTAAACTTCGAACAGAACGTTGTGAAGCCCACCGTGTATATCTGCCTGCCGTATGCTTATAAGAAGTCCTTTTCAGAAATGCTAAACAAGCTGGAGAAAAGATCAAATCAGTTGGGCATAAATACGATATCAATGACGGACACTTCTCTGGAAGATGTTTTCCTACAGTATGAATTTACATTAGCATTGCCACGGCGTTATACTAATAATACTTCATGATAATGATATTTTGTAGGTGTGCCGGGGAACAGGATCAAGTGGACACCCCAGATGGCTCTAGAAATGATGCCCCCCTTCTGACACCGTACAAAAAGTTGCCCAGCCAACCGATGCAGCCCACTCTTTTTCAACTTTGGATGGCTGTCTTTTACAAGAAGTGGACATTTATATCAAATGAATGGTTATATACAATGATAATGGTATGCATTATACAATCGACATTTAACTTTGAGGACTTTGAACTGTACTAAAGTACAGCGATAGTAGTGCATCAGAGTATATATATCTGATTCGCATTTATTCCCTCTTCACAGGTGTGCATTCCATTTGTTTGTGTATGCGGTGCTATACTCTTAATGCACACCATGTCGATAGTGGAGAATGAGGAGGCTCTTCCGCTGAAACTTAGCCATATGGGCGGCGGCGTTATTTACATTCATAATCCGACGGGCCATCACTCCCAAGTAGAGACGCAGCTGCGTCAGCAAATTGAGCTGAGTGGATTTACAGTGAAAACAATGCACCTGCGTGGGAGTAATGATGTTAAAAATGGTGAGTATCCCATGTCGTGCTGAAAATTATAATGATTTCATTAATTTCTGTGCTCCCTAGAATCTCTTGACTTGCAACGTGACAACTTGGCTGATTTTTTGGAACAGGTGATTGGCATCATTGACATGTACGGAGGTGGGCGTGGCACCTCGGATACGCCTGCCCTAGAAATTTACTACTCTGGAAACCGCTACCATAGCTCAGTGGTGCTCATAAACCTCGTTGATTCCGCTATGCTGAAGCTAAAGAATCAAGAGTCTGACATTGATACAACTTACGTGCCCATCCGCCGATTTGTTAGCGATATCAGCCCTTCCCGCCTCGAATACTATGCGGTCATCGTGTCCGTTGGGATGTTTTTCTTTATGTTCTATTTCATCTCGTTACCGTTTCGGGAATACGCTAATGGATTCCGCCAGCTGCAGGCCATGTCGCGATATACTTATTGGCTATCTCATTTCACTTTTGATATGTTGTTCCTTATATTTGTCTGCGGCGCTCTGTTCGTTCTGCAATTTTTGATCATGCCCGCTGAGCTATACAACGCGACCGAGCTTAAAGTCATTGTATTGAGCATCTTCTTTTATGGATGCAGCTACCTGCCTATTCTGTACGCCCTGGGCAACAACTTTAAGTCCATCTCAACGATATCCACCTATCTTCTTCTGATGCTTATTGTGTCTGGTAATATTGACATTGGATCAAATTTTTCAATTATAAATAATATATATTTTTAGCAATTGCTCCATTGATTACCTCCGCCAATTCATCGTCCATGAAACTGCACGAGACCAAGATCGCCTTCCTCTGCTTCCTTCCGGACTTCAATTTGAACCACCAATTGCGCATCATTAACGAGAACTTTATTGCTCGTCGTCGTTCGGGCGAGATAAAGGATCTCAACTCTGAGAACACCTTCTTTGCCTATGCAACCGCCGTGTGTGTCCTGGTAATGGCTTTCTTTACCATTGTTTTGGAACACAAGTATCTGCGTCGACGATTGCATTATCGTATCTGGGATTGGAAATACTTGCAACAGAAAAACAACTCGACCATACCCAGTACTCCGATGTCGGTAATTGATGATTGTGCAAAGGAGGAGGAGCGAGTTAAGGGGCTGATTGGGAACCCGTCTTCGGATTATCCGCTGATTGTGAGTAAACTTCGGAAGCGATACGGGCAAACGGTGGCTGTGGACGGACTTAGCTTTGCAGCCGCTAGGGGTGAATGTTTTGGTCTATTAGGTGTAAATGGAGCGGGCAAAACAAGTACTTTTCAGATGATAGCAGCCAATTTACCGCTGGATGAAGGCAACATACGCATCGGTAGCATTGAAATTCAGAAGGATGAGGTAGCTTACCGCCAATGTTTTGGCTACTGTCCGCAGTACGACGCCCTAAATAAATTCATGACTGCGGAGCAGTGTCTGCATTACATGGCATTACTGCGTGGTTTGAGCAACACCGCCGAAGGTCCAGCCAGCGTCAAGGAAAACGTAAAGTACTGGTTAGAGAAGATGCATTTGACCAAATATCAGCAGGTGCAAGTGCGTCACTATTCGGGCGGCACGAAGCGGAAGCTTTTGGCAGCAATGGCCATGATTGGAGCTCCCTCATTGGTGCTCCTGGACGAACCAACTACTGGTGTTGATCCCATATCGAGGCGATTCCTCTGGCAGTGCATTAAGGATTTCCAAGGCCAAGACCGAACTGTGGTCCTCACGTCACATAGGTAAGTAATAATTCTCATAGCCTATATTCAAATATTAATATATTTCCCTTCCTATAGCATGGACGAGTGTGAAGAGCTGTGTAATCGTTTAGCCATCATGGCCCATGGCAAGTTTAAATGCCTAAACAATATCTGTGCCCTTAAGCGATTGAGCGGCTTTACAATAAAACTGAAAATGAAGGACGATACTGAAACGGAAGAAAATATAAACACGATTACTGGCACTCTCAGAGCACAGTTTACGGGTCTAGAACTACGAGAGAGCCATGCCGGAACGCTCACTTATTTCGTAGGGACCCAGGAGAATATAATTCTCTGGTCGGACGTTTTCAAGATTTCAGAGGACTATCTCACCGATCGGTTAAGTGCCCTCGTAGCGGACTATTCGGTGAACGAGTGCACACTCGAGGATATATTTCTTAAATTTGAAAAAGAAGCGAATTCGAGATCACCGTCACGACAAACCTCGGTGCAACGAAGTTCAGATATTAGCAATGTATAAACCTGTCAGGGAAGCTTTTAGGAACTTCAGTAAAGATGAGCACAAGACTGCCGTCGTGGGGGATGGGAAACACCTTTCCGCGACATCATAATATCATCTGTAAAAATTCCACCTAACACGTTCTTCGGCCAGTATTTCTTTTCAATCTCTTAATTGATGTGGGGTTATTCTAAATATGGGGTTATTCTCTCGACGGCGGTCAATTGGGCTTAGGTCTGTTGCCGGGATTCGTATACTTAACGTAAACATGTGTTAGGACTAATCAAACTAAAGACATATGTAAACTTTGTGAAAACTCTTGAAGTAAGTATGTTTAATTTTAGATATAAATATTAAAATAAATAATACATTTTGGAATACCAATAAAAACATGTTTTATATTATTATTTTAATATGGATGTACTATTTTCTTTGTATTAAAAGTTTGGGATCTAATACACAATTTTAACTTGATATTTGCACCTCAAATAATTTCGTATACTAAGAAATGCCAACTTCAAAAACTACTGAAGGTCCTCCTTATTATAACATGAATCGGATATTCCGATAAAACAAGCTGTTATGTAAATATTATTTTTTCTATATATGTATTGCTTTTAAACTTGATCAATTTAAAAAAAAAACGGCTTTGGCACTTGCTCAAAAATATTTACTTTAATCTTATTTTTACCACCAGGCCACATTATTTTAGCGTTATTTACAAAATATTCATTTTTCGTTGCTCTACTTGCATCCTTTTTATGTCGCGTAGTAAAATATGGAAGTTGGATCGAGATATTGCCATGTGTCAGCTGTGCGTGAAGGTGATCAAGACTTGCGGGAATACGCCCAACTTAATGAAGCTCATGAAGACTCATCCGCAAGTGTAGGAAGGAAGAAGGCCCAAAGGTACTTGCACATTCCGGCAACGTCAGAGCCGCCTTCAATAATTTTCATGGCTGATGGAGCAGTGTTGAAGGAACAGTATTGCAGACTGATCGAAAGCAACATGGAGAACATCCTTTTTATGGCGGATGTCCCAGTGATTGAGTTTATGTTATAGCACAGTTCCTAGTCAATCATGAACACATAGTTGTTATTAAATATAATTTCTAAAATAAATACATTTTTAACTAAATTAATTAATTTAACTAATTTTTTACTAAATTAATCGTTTTAAACATAAGCTTAATGTGTTATAGAATTAAGCAAAATAAACAAGAATAAATTTGTTATCAGTAGGAGCCGTTATAATTTTAAAAAGTAATAAAAGCGGTATATACCGTAAAATACTAGGCACTTCTCAACACTGTCGACATATTAGGATTTTATTCTTTTACGGTCATACTTCTGATGACGTTTTTTCGCATTGTATTTTGAAGTATATTTTAATGTGAAAAAAATTGAGAGATTTGCAACATGCAAACAGCCACGACACGCTAAAAACTCGCCGAGTGCCCCCAGTAGACAAAACAACCGAGAGGATCACTCCGCCCAGCTGGCGGACAACACAGAAGGCAGCAGCGAAAGTTGCGTGGCTGTCGTTTCCGGAAGCGAAGGGCAGAGGAGAATCCGGAGGAGGAGGCTTAGAAAACCACCCAGCGGAGGCGACCTTGGGAGTGGCAGCGGCCCAATATGCACAACAACTCCACGAAGACCAAGGAAATGTTCATAGTGCGTGCTCTAGAGAAGATCCTTGCCGACAAGGACATAAGGCGCTCCCACCACTCGCAGCTAAAGAAATCATGTGACTCGGCTCTGGAGCAGATCAAGGCGGAGCTAATTAGCGCCGGCCAGATAGCGGAGGGGAACGAGCTGCCATGTGCCGCACTCCCGCTGCCTAAAAATGATGCAGCGAGCATTATCAATGCAGAGACCTACTTTTTGCCCTTCGAGCTGGCATGCAAGAGCCGCTCGCCAAGAATTGTGGTCACTGCTTTGGACTGTTTGCAAAAGCTGATTGCCTATGGTCACTTGACGGGCTCAATTCAGGACTCGGCCAACCCCGGTCACCTGCTCATCGACCGCATCGTGATCACCATCTACGGTTGCTTCAGCGGACCTCAGACCGATGAGGGCGTCCAATTGCAGATCATCAAGGCTCTTCTTACGGTGGTCACCTCGCAGCACGTGGAAATCCACGAGTTTACGTTGCTCCAGGCCGTGCGCACCTGCTACGACATCTATCTGTCCAGCAAGAACCTGGTTAACCAAACCACAGCTCGGGCAACTCTTACCCAGATGCTAAATGTAATATTTGCTCGCATGGAGAATCAGGTGTACGAGCTACCACCTCCTAGTTCCAATCCCATAAACGGCAGCATCCACTCGGAGGATTGCAATGGCTCTGGAGAAGAACCGCTGGGGGATTCAGACGAAGTCATTGCCTCTGAGCTTCTTGCAGAGATCATATCAGGTGCGTGGCAATCGTTGGCGGCAGTTTGATAAGTAGATATAAACTTTCTTTATAAACAGAAGGTTCATATCACTTAACAAATTCAAATTTGTGTGTAGAGTTAAAAAAGTGAATGATTTTGAAAAATTCCACTAATTGGCAAGGAAATTTTTGTATGAGTCAGCGTAGTAATTTCAACGATAAGGTGCAACATAAACTGCCGCTCCCACTACGTGCCTAATAATTATTGCGTTATAATAATGACGATTTCGTATTTCAGCTGCCTACAACGAGGCTATGAAGGATCAAGAAACGGTCGGGGACCAAGAGCTAACAGTCAATGGAAACGATTATTCCTCCCACTCGGATCACGACAGTGTCGAGTTACACAGCGAGAATGATGCAGTGGTTACCGCCAAATTCACCCACATCTTGCAAAAAGATGCATTTCTCGTGTTCCGGGCGCTGTGCAAGCTATCGATGAAGCCCCTGCCGGAAGGTCATCCGGATCCAAAGTCGCATGAGCTACGCTCTAAAGTGCTTTCGTTGCATCTGCTTTTGCTCATTCTTCAGAATGCTGGGCCTGTCTTCCGTTCCAACGAGATGTTTATCATGGCCATTAAACAGTATCTATGCGTGGCCCTTTCCAACAACGGCGTGAGCCTGGTTCCGGAGGTCTTTGAACTGTCCCTCTCGATCTTTGTGGCCTTACTGTCAAACTTCAAGGTGCATCTGAAGCGCCAGATCGAGGTCTTCTTCAAGGAGATCTTCCTCAATATACTGGAGGCCAACTCGAGCAGCTTTGAGCACAAGTGGATGGTAATCCAGGCGTTGACACGGATCTGCGCCGATGCCCAGTCTGTGGTGGATATATATGTCAACTACGATTGCGATTTCTCGGCGGCAAATCTTTTTGAGAGACTAGTCAACGATCTGTCGAAAATTGCTCAGGGTCGTCAGGCCCTCGAATTGGGCGCCAATCCAATGCAAGAGAAATCGATGCGCATACGCGGTCTAGAGTGCCTCGTATCCATTTTGAAGTGTATGGTAGAGTGGAGCAAGGACTTGTATGTGAACCCTAACATGCCTGTTCCAGCTCTACAAGTGCAGTCTCCTACGACCACGGATCAAGATCAGGCCGACACGACCATTCAAACTATACACAGCGGCTCAAGCCATAGCTTAAATTCGAATCAGGAGCAACTGCAAGATCTTCCGGAGGCTTTAGAGGAGCGCAAGATGCGCAAGGAAGTGATGGAAACGGGCATCGAGCTGTTCAACCGAAAACCACAGAAGGGAGTTCAATTTTTGCAGGAAAAGCAGCTCTTGGGTGCCACATGCCAGGACATTGCCCGTTGGTTACACGAGGACGAACGACTGGACAAAACAGTTATTGGAAATTATCTCGGCGAGAACGACGATCACTCCAAGGAGGTGATGTGTGCCTACATTGATGCTTTTGACTTCCGTCAACTGGAGGTGGTTGCCGCTTTGAGAATTTTACTAGAAGAATTCCGATTGCCGGGCGAAGCACAGAAAATCGATCGACTGATGGAGAAGTTCGCCAGCAGGTACTGTGAGTGCAATCCGCAGAACCAGCTATTCCAAAGCGCCGACACCGTATACGTTCTGGCATTCAGCATAATTATGCTAACCACGGATCTCCATTCGCCGCAAGTCAAACATAAGATGACCAAGGAGCAGTATATCAAAATGAATCGTGGCATCAGCGATAGCAAGTCAGATTTACCAGAGGAGTATTTGTCCTCTATATACGACGAAATTTCTGAGCACGAGATCAAGATGAAGAACAACTCCGGAATGCTTCAACAGCCAAAACCTACTGGAAAGCAGGCCTTCATCACGGAGAAACGGAGAAAGCTTTTGTGGAACATGGAGATGGAGGTAATCTCGCTAACGGCCACCAATCTTATGCAGTCTGTTTCGCACGTTAAGTCGCCCTTCACCTCAGCGAAACATCTTGAGCATGTGCGTCCAATGTTTAAAATGGCTTGGACTCCGTTCCTGGCGGCCTTTTCGGTGGGTCTTCAAGATTGCGACGATCCGGAGATAGCTACACTCTGCTTGGATGGAATCCGTTGCGCCATTCGAATAGCATGCATCTTTCACATGTCCCTGGAGCGAGATGCCTATGTCCAAGCCCTAGCCAGGTTTACCCTATTGAACGCCAACTCGCCCATAAACGAGATGAAGGCCAAGAATATCGACACCATCAAGACGCTCATTATGGTTGCCCATACGGACGGCAATTACCTGGGCAGCAGCTGGCTGGATATAGTTAAGTGCATTAGCCAGCTTGAGCTGGCTCAACTAATTGGCACTGGTGTCCGACCCCAATTCCTTTCCGGGGCTCAGACCACACTCAAGGATTCGCTTAATCCTAGCGTAAAAGAGCACATCGGCGAGACGAGTAGCCAGAGCGTGGTGGTCGCTGTCGATCGTATTTTCACTGGCTCCATGCGACTTGATGGAGATGCCATCGTGGACTTCGTAAAAGCTCTATGCCAAGTCTCGGTGGATGAACTGCAGCAGCAGCAACCGAGAATGTTCTCATTGCAGAAGATAGTGGAAATCAGTTACTATAACATGGAACGTATTCGTTTGCAATGGTCACGTATTTGGCAAGTTCTGGGCGAGCATTTCAATGCGGTCGGATGCAACAGCAACGAGGAAATCTCCTTTTTTGCCTTGGACTCACTGCGTCAGCTGTCCATGAAGTTCATGGAGAAGGGCGAGTTCAGTAATTTCCGTTTCCAGAAGGATTTTTTGCGTCCCTTCGAGCACATTATGAAGAAAAATGCGTCGCCGGCTATTCGAGACATGGTGGTGCGCTGTATTGCACAGATGGTAAACTCACAGGCTCATAACATCCGTTCCGGCTGGAAGAATATCTTCAGCATTTTCCACCTGGCAGCGGGAGATCACGAAGAACCAATTGTAGAGCTGGCCTTCCAGACAACTGGAAAGATCATTGGGGATTTGTACAAGCGCCAGTTCGCCATCATGGTAGACTCGTTCCAGGACGCAGTTAAGTGTCTATCAGAGTTTGCCACCGCTAGATTTCCCGATACCAGCATGGAAGCAATACGCTTGGTGCGCACCTGCGCGCAATGCGTCCATGAGGCACCACAACTATTCGCGGAGCATGCCGGCATGGAGAATGATGCCTCGGTGGCGGAGGAAGACCGTGTATGGGTACGTGGCTGGTTTCCAATGCTGTTCTCGCTTTCATGCGTGGTTAATCGGTGCAAACTTGATGTGCGAACTCGAGCATTAACAGTGTTGTTTGAGATTGTCAAAACTTATGGAGAGAGCTTCAAACCAAACTGGTGGAAAGATCTATTCAATGTAATTTTCCGCATATTCGACAACATGAAGTTACCAGAGCACATCACCGAGAAGTCCGAGTGGATGACGACCACCTGTAATCACGCCTTGTACGCTATTATTGATGTCTTTACGCAGTACTTCGATGTGCTGGGACATTTGTTGCTGGAGGAGCTTTTCGCCCAATTACACTGGTGCGTACAGCAGAGCAATGAGCAGTTGGCTAGATCTGGCACCAACTGCCTAGAGAACCTTGTCATTTCGAACGGCTTTAAGTTCAACGAGTCCACATGGGACAAGACCTGTCAGTGCATCCTGGATATCTTTAACGCAACGTTGCCACAAGACCTTCTTAGTTGGCGGCCGAAAGCACATTCCAGTAACAATTTACCCCAGGAGCATAACCACTTCGAAGCGCTGCACATTCGTTGCGTTGTGCAGCTTGAACTGATACAGACCATGGACAACATTGTCTTTTTCCCGGCAACATCGCGGAAAGAGGATGCCGAAACACTGGCCCAGGCGGCAGCTGACTTAACCGGCGGAAGGAACGGATCACAGTCGCAGCTCCTTGAATGCCAGCGAGAAGAGCAGGGTATGTACGGATATTTGAGGACACGACAGCTGCTCACATTGGCCGACTGTTTGATGCAATCACATCGGTTCGCCAAACGCTTCAATGCCGACCACGATCAGCGTAGTCTGCTGTGGCGGGCAGGATTCAAGGGATCCGTGAAGCCGAATCTGCTTAAACAAGAGACTTCTTCACTGGCCTGTGTCCTGCGCATATTCTTTAAGATGTACGGCGATGAGAACAGACGCAGTGACTGGCCAGGCATCGAGCAGGAGCTGGTGCAGGTCTGCAAGGAGGCACTAGGCTACTATCTGAGTTTGCAGAGTGAGGCTCACCGCGATGCTTGGACATCGCTTTTACTGCTCATCCTGACGCGCCTGCTTAAGATGTCTGATGCAAGGGTGAGTTTGGCACTTGGGCTTAACCTGTTGATAATTGTTAATTGTTAACAATGTTATTTTAAAATCCTTGTTCTAGTTTGCCACCCACGTTTCCAACTACTATGGCCTGCTGTGCGAGATGATGTGCTTCGACCTCAAGCCCGAACTGAGAAGTGTCCTTAGGCGTGTGTTCATGCGCATCGGTCCAGTATTTAATATAATGAGCGTTAAATAGTCACGGAGGAGCCTCAGCCACCAGGCTAGTTGACTCGGCCATGTTAATAGTTCGATCCTCCCAGAATCCCCTCAAATCCTAGTTCATAGAGCACCCTTTCGGTTCCCTCGGCTTTGTTGTTATGTTGGCACTTAATCATACATACAAGTATATATATATTTTTATTATATTTATAAACAATACATAGGCAGAATGTAATGTTTATTAGGTTTAACAAGAAATGTTGTTGTTTTTATAAATATTTGCATACTAATATGGGTATGCTAAATAAGGCTTTAATGTGTGCGTGTGTATAGTTTCCTTCAGTTACGAATTTGGATTTTGTTTTCCCCGGTGTAACCACACTTTAACATTCACCTATTATCTATTAGTGTGTAGCGTAAATACCGATTAAACCAGCATTATGTAAAGCCTGTATATTGCTAGTGTTAATTTAAATCAAAATCTATATAAATATATATTTCAAATATACAATATAATTATATTACCAATGCCAGTTTCGTTTGGTTCTGGGATTGACAAGGCTGTTTCAGTGGTCTCATCATGCATATTAAGATGCAGTTAAAGGAATGTGATCTGATTAAATGCTCCTTCGTATGCCCCCGTCAATACCGTCACCAATATAATAAAAAATATTTATATTTCGGTCGCACGTCCCCCAATTTATATTTTAATTTAAAAAATCTCGCACTTTCCTATTTGTTTAGAAATCTACAATAAAGTCAATTAAGTTTTTGGACTGGGTGTATACGTTCTTTTGCAGTCTCTGGGCATCTGTCCAGTCTTTGATTCACAGATTTATAGCATTTTTATTATTCCCCCAATATGTGCGACGAATTTATTTAAATGATGCCGAGAGCTTCATGATTTTATTTGCTGGATTTTGGCAGAAAAAATGGGACTGCATAACCAAGCATTTTTATATCGAAGATACCCCGAATGATTTTAATTAACAAAATATAGCTGACAATAATCATAAATCCACCATTCTAATGATGAACATTTATTTTTCAAAACATATATGGATGTCTTAGCCACAAATATATGATAATTTTAATATAATCTGGTGATATTCTTAATCCCTGAAATATTATTTCTTTCAGTTTGCCTAGAAGTAATAATTAACTAAATATCAAAAACTTGAGGAAAGTCAGTGATCTTTAATTGAAATGCTAAGTTATTGTAAAAAGTCGCCAGCGATGTCTATATTTTGAATGGCCTTAAAAAGTAATTTTAAGTGCAGAGAAAAAGTTTAGCCTTTATTTTTACTTTTTTCGGCCTTTGGAATATTCCAAGCCAAGTTTGTCGTTTTGTTTTTGCCAAAAATTCGTACCTTAGTCAGTGTCCACATGACACGGAGTGATATTTTTCGTGGTGTTTTGTTTATTTGCCGGTTAAATAAATCGATTAACACGCACCGACTGCAAACTGACCGAAACTGAGATGATCGGGTAGGAATCAATGGGGCTTTGTACGAGAAAAAGTGACTGGGAAGAAGGTATTTGTATGTATTAAAAGTGTGAGCTGGAAATTCTAAGTTATATGCTAATAGATCTCGTTAATATGTCAATTCCAGTGGAAACTTAATCACGCTCTGGATTTTTGATTCGATTTGCGAAGTACCACATTGCTAGATGCTAATTGGGGGCGCTTACGTATATAGAGGAAGACAAATTTTTTGTATAGAGAGAGATTATATCTATACCTTTAACCCCTTAATATCCCAAAAATCTCTAACGAATTGCAGTTGATCTTACTACAAACTGGAGTTCAAGATCTTTAACAAGCCTCAAAGCATGTTGGTTTATGAAGCTTATAAAAAAGAATTATAACGTTCAACAATTGCTGGCAAAACAAAATAAAAAGAAATCCTTAGCCACGCGTGTTACCATCCCAGAAAAAATTCAAGTAATAAACATGATCCAAGAAATAAAGGTGGCAAACAGTGCTAGATTCTGGACCAGGACCGATTCATTTCTTAAAGTTCTTTATCGAGGCAGATGATTAGCTAACAAAAGCGCAGCAATTTTGGTTTTGTGTCACTGAGAAAGTTCATGACTTGTCGCATTTGCCTTGAAAAGTTGGTTGAACTGTCTGAAAGTTTTTCTATAGGAGGAACCAAATTAGTCATGATGAAAACGGTAACCTCCTGAGATTAGAGTTATCTATGTAAATATCCAAAAATAATCTCTTGACTTTTTAGCAAATATTTATTTCACAAAACTACTGTTGTTGTTTGTTTTCTTTTTATTTTTTTGCAAAGGTACTCTACTGCCTTATGTTCTCAAGACGTGTATTATAAAGCAATAAATAATCTCATGAGCTTGACAGGAAAAATATTTTGAAAAAATGGGATGGCCAGCTAAATATTAAAACGTAAAAACTTTATGGTAATGGCTTTATGATTATCAATTTTGATTTTGGAGCATTTAAAAGACTATTAATTAATTCGTTTATGAAACTCAAATGGGTCATTAATGTTTATTAAAAACACGTAAACACCAAGTCTATCTTCTTTTATGAAGAGCAAAAATCAAACAACCTTATCGATTTTATCTTTGAAATTTCCAAAATGCAATAATAATTATCATTGGTGCAAACTAATTAGTGGCCTGGTTTGGTCTGCTCCTTTTCCAATTCAATTAGAACGATCTGAGTGATCCCGTTCCCGACCAAAAACTTTGCCTGTCACATGGGTTCAGTTAATTCCCATTAACAATAATTACTCGACCTTGAAGTGGGCTGTCAGAGCGGGAGCTTAAATCAAATTCCAGCCAGATACATTCCCATTTTCATTTCCATTTCCATTTTGCAAAAAAAAAGCCGAGCGGAATGGCAAAAGGCGGAAGCTAACGACTAAAAACTGCACGTGAGGTGGGGTCGTTGAGATGATTGGGGGTGGTGGATAAAGCCTGGGGATTTAGGGGGCGTTAGTGAGGGGCGGGGCCCAGCAGAACGTTGTAAAGCGCAAATAATAATGCATGGATAATTAGAAAACAAGCTCAGCACAGGGAAAAGTGGGCGATAAGATTTAAGCCAAGTGCAAACAAACAAAGATTTCACACATACGCCGAATTAATTGCGCATACGCAGTGTAGGGCCAGGGAAATAAAAAGATAGCCCTGATCGAAAACCATGAGGATAAAAAAGTTTACCGATAAACAATGGTAGTATTAGTTTCTGGATCCATGTAACCAATTCTCAGCTATTGTGCAATTCAAGGAAAACAAAACAACAGCGGCGCAGAATTGAAATTAGTGACAAATTTTGTGCTTAACTCGCTGAAGTGGCTTCGTGCTATGCGGTGACTGTTCCTAATGGACTAATGGAATAACATGAGCAGCGCGTTGATGGAAATTATGGATCCCTTTTGCCCCCTGACCAGTCCCAACCCACCTTCTCCTCTCTCAGCCCAACCAAGTCATATGCAGAGAGAGAGACAGTTCCAGTTCCCCTCAAAACTGTTGCGATTAGCGTGTCGCCACCACTAGACCAGGCCCATCCCCATTTCCCCCGTCGTATATATACTGAGATATATATATATTGTACAAATATGTAGATCTGTTGTGTGCGTTGACAAGCGCGCGATCGCGATCACGCTTTAAGTCCCAAAGCACCAACAAAAACAATACAAAAAAGTTCAACAACAAAACCGAAAAAAAAGAAAATTACCGCATGTATGAAGCAATTTACAAAATGTCTAGGCACAGTGGATAGAAAAGCAGTGAGAGATCGCTAAAGCTGATAGATTTCATTGTCTATAGGTAACCATTGCATTTCATGTCAACACTTATTAGTCCTTAACTATATAAAGCAACTGCATTGTTCTTTAGCAAAAGGATTTATCACGTTAAGAGTCACTGGAACTATATATTATCCTTTAAATGTTTTACTCACTTTAATTATACCAATTCAAGTTATAAAAATCTAAAATATATAAATTTATTAAGTAGACTACTCAACTTTAATTAAAAAAGTAATCTAGATCGAGCTTGTTGAATTATGTAACTCCTTACTATCTATTTAGTACGACTTACACTTTAAAATTCTCAGGAATTGATTGATCGTGCTCGACAATAATTGATTAATGTTAAGCATTGTTGCCTTTCCTTACATTTCCGCTTTCTGACCACCGATCCCGCCCAGCACTTTATGCAGAGTCAAGGTCAAGCAGCTAGAGCTAGTGCAAATAAAAATGGACAGCAAAGTGTTAGGAATCGAACTCATTACGTATGCGCCCCATTGTGCCGAACACTCAAGTGCGGCCAAACTAAACTATTGAACCCAGCGGCGCGCTGTCAACGGTTCTAATGACGCCTCAGTCGGTACCGCTCCCCCACCCCCTTGCCAACTGTTTAACACCCACCCACCGACCTGCTTTAGGGGGTTAAACAGTAGTTTAGTTCACTGGCTTTACGACTTTCACGCTCTCCGGATATTTTTTTATATTTTGTGTGTTCTCTCTCGCTGCCGCCGCTCGCAAGGTGCGTGCTGTCCGCTTCGCAGTCGCTGCCGGTTTTCAAGCCAGCAGCGCTGCCCGAGTCCGTCAGTCTACAATCGTCGGACAAACCAAACAGTCGACGTTCCACTCCGCTCCGTGATTCTACCATTGGGAGATTCTACGATTCCCACTTCCCATATTCCCTATAAAGAACACCGGGCGATCCCCAGCGAAAGTCAGACGCGTGCCACCAACCGCGAGTGAAACATCCCTGATAAATAAAGAAGATATCCTAAAGGGTATATTATATAAAAACAAAACCAACCTATCCCAAAAACCAAGATGAGCCACCACTGGGGATACACCGAAGAGAACGGTAAGCTCTCAATTTTTGGCTTGTTTGTTTTGAGTTTGACAGCCTCCGGAATCAGGTTCCCGCTTTCGGTTTGTTTACCAGTCTGGCCTTCCGTCTCTAATCAGACATCGCCGTCTGCGTCTGCTTCTGCGGTGATTCCGAATTTTTTTGACTCATTTGCACACGCTGCGCATGCGTGCCTCAATAACAAGATTTTCACTGTTAAACAAAATTTCCATTTTATCTTTGGTGAAAAACAAATATCTTTGTTATCTCTCAAGGAATTTTTAACAATTTTGTTTTTATGGGTAACTTGATCTATCTATCTGACAGCAAACGTCACGTTCCAGAATCAGACAGAGTTCTCTTTTTTTAAAGAGCTATTAAACGATAAGATATTGGCTAGATATAGGCGCCCAAAGACGTAGCCTAGCCCAATAAAATGACAAAAGAGTAAAAACAAAAATGTTATCAAGAGAAAGGTGTGAGTAAACCCTTAATAAATAGTCAATTAGTCAGATAATTTCACACTTAAAAGCGTTCGTCTAAGATTTGCGTTATCGTGAAAATAGGGTTTAGATTACAGAGTCGTTGAGAAAAATACTTCCGAAGTGTTGCTCTATCGATTGCACAATGTTTTGAATGCCCTGCAATTCGATTTCATGCCTCATAAGCTGAATCGCACAAGCAGACTTGGACATTACTCATGAATAATGGGCATTAATTAAAATGCAAGGGAGCGGGGCGGATCGGGTTTTGTGACTGTGGATCGGGGACTGGGGAGTTTCGCACGAGCTGGGTCTCGTGATCTGGTGCTATTGCTGGTGCTTCCCACTAACCAGTCCCCCTCGGCGGAGTCAATCGCCTCGACTGGCAAACTAGTTCTCCGACGACCCGATCGATTGTTTTTGCCAGCCGTCTTGCCTTGTCTTTGCTGTTTTTTTCTGAGCACCATATGCCCCTCGCTCTTTGCCGCTTTGAAGGCTAGTCAAGTGCATGTTCTTCGTCTGCTAAGGACACATGACGGACCGGTTCCAATGTCTCGGGCGTATACGTAATGTGATATATAATAGATAGAATTTATATCGAATCGGTTGCGTTAGCAACATATCAATTTAAAAATCAAGAATCAAGAATAAAAAACTTCAATTTTTGACAATATCAATTGATTTGCTTAACTGGTTTGTGATTGCTCTGATTGATTTCGATGCTGATACTGATTTTCCCTCGCCACGCTGGTAACTTTCCAGCCCAAGAAGAACCTTATCAGCAAGCTGCTCCTCTAGAGCCGAGAATGCCTACATTAAACACGAGAAACTCTATACCATATATTCGTATTTTTAGTCGCGATTGTGCGATCAGTGCAGCCATATAGCCATCCTTATCAAATCGCACAGGTTGTGTCTAACCCCTGGGCACTGTCAGAACTGTCTGAATGGTGAGCGACACGCTTCCATCTGGACACTACAGATTACAACTCGCGTGTTTATGTGCGAAGATCAATCAAATGTCCCGAAAACGATTTACTCTCTATCACCTGATTAATATTTTTCCTTTGGAGGCACTGGTTCAAACCGAAACTCGCTAATGTCTATATCTTTATCGAAAAACTTAACTTTATCTGACGATGATAAACCCATTTTTTTAGCAAACAAAATAAATGTCTATATCATTAAGCTGTCGCAATCGCAATGATCGATGGATTTATAATGTTCTAAAATGATATATTTATGGTGACTTATCAGTTTCTCGGTTAGATCAAAATTACTTAAGGAATTTCGGATCCAGGGAAATTTTACGTGTACGTGAAGAGTAATAACAAAGTTCACTTTCAATATTGTTTTTTATATGCCATTTATTGGTCAGATCAAGTCCAGACCCCTTCATTAAATTCAATATTTATTAGAGTGTTTTATAAGCAAAAAATAGAAAAGCGAAAACAATTTCTCACGCAAGGAACGTGCGGAGAATCATCACTTTAATATTATTTTTGGCCAGATATATTGGATGAAAAACTTGACTTGCCAGTCCAGATATTTTATTGGACGCGCTAATAAAATTATTTCGATGAAATATGATTTTATATATATTTAGGTATATATTAAAATTGGTTGGAAAATATCTGGACAAATAAAAAAAAACAATTTAAAGTATTCAGATTTCAGACGTGACAGAACATTTTAAATAGCAAAATTTCGGAAAAGCTTTTCATTATGCCGAAATGCATTTTGGTTACGTACTTATTACGTTCCCTCGACTTTTATGGCAATTCAATTATTCCATTTGCGGTTTATTGTCACCATTTCTCACATGCAAACAAATAATTACAGCAAAAATTTTAGCAGGTGATTGAAGGGTTGGATAGGTGGCCGATAGACAAATGTCGTGGCTGGCCAAGGGTAGTGGCCATTTCTGGGGCTTCCTCAAGTCAAGGTGGGTGATAAAAATAGTAGGGGTTGTTGCTTTTTAGCCTGGTCAATTGAGTGGCTATAAAAAGCAGTATAACCCAGAGAGACAAGTGTTCCGTGCTGTAAACCTGCACTTATATATCACCAGATACTGACTCAGAATTCTGGGGTGGGGGTACTTTCCCCAAACCAGTTTTCGTTAGTACTTCCTTACGATCGTCCCCAGGAAAGACAAAAAAAAAACACGCGACAAACTCATGCCTCTCTCCAATTCCGATGAATCCCCCTATAGATATTATCATGCAAGGCTCGCTTAGAGTCGCTCAGCTCGTAAATTCGTAAATGCTAATTGCTAAATTTTATTTTGTCGTGTTTTTTAAAGTTTTTTTTTTGGGCTGTCGTAACGAGCATTTCTTTATTAGTCTCTCAGGTTTTATATTCGCTTTTTCTTTATTTAAATGCTTTTTTTAATAAAATGACAAACAAAGCTTGTTTTCGGTTCATCGGGTTTTGGCGATAATAGAACTCGATAGAATGCAATGCTTGGGGAAATCTTCTATGGGGTTTCTAGCGAAAGATCATTACAGATTCCATATGGCGATCTAAACGTTTCCGGAACAAGTTCTCCCAGACAGCATCGGGTTTTTGTTTTTCTGTCAGGGCATTTACGGATATATGGTTGTGGGCAATTCATTTGCAGTAATTCAATTAAAAAATCATTTGGATTTTATCACAGCATTAATGGTCAGAATTACGCTCTGGCCATTGTTCCATGTCATTTAAATTGAAGCCAAATTAAGTGTAAAACGATGATGAATTGTTTGAGGAGTGTGCGAATGATAAGTTTGCAGTTAGTAAAGTGGCAGAGTGGAATAAGTATAACAAAAGCTCGTTTGATCAGCTTTAAGGGTCCCCATAATGCCAACTGGTTATTTCCGATCTCACTGTGTTTGCACAAGTGCGCCATTTCCTTGTATTTGTTTACTTTCTTCTACTTTTTTTTAATGAAGTCTGCTTATTGTTATCACTGGCACTGCGAAAATGCCGCCAGGTGATCTTAATGTATTTACAGCCAAAGTCAGCGACAAACTAGTTAAGTAAATAAAGACAATAAGCCTGGACATTTAAATGAACAAATGTAACTTCGTTCATTTTGTATATATTTATATAAATTGCTGACTTTTGTGATATCTTCACAAGTTGAATGTTGATTAAAAAAGGTAAAGTGTTAAATATGGCAGGAAATTTGCACTTGGCTGCTAGGTTACGAAAGGATCGTGCAACTCCATTTCTTATTTCTTTGTATGCCCAACACGGCGTATACGTGACTTTCATACAAAATGTGGACCACATGATTTTCCTTAGCAAACTGTTTGCACCTAAATGGGAAATAAAGAACTTGATTGTACCTTTTGATAAATGATAAATGCATTTCACCTGACTTTTGTTATTTATTATCAATTTTATAGAGGACTTTCGGTATAAGTGAAATAAATATTGGAAGCTACAAAGCTGTTGACACCTTGAGCTCGGTGATCTATCAAATGACAAATGAGGCTTTGCCCCGGTGTCTTTGGGTTCGATAAGAACCCCCGTCAGTTCCTGGGTAACTAGCCAGCTCATATCATTGCAGTCTAGGGTTAATATTTTTCGTTGGTCTGGTTTAGACAAACAACAATAACGCCATTCTCCATGTCAGCCCACACTTTTGCGGTTTATCTAGAGCGTGCGTCTGCAATGATCCTATCACATGACTTCGGCCTGCGGTCTTCAGAATGATTTTACTGGCACGTGACGTGGTTCTCTGTGCCAATATTTGTTCTGACTTTGCACACCAACGTCGGTAATTAAAAAAGTGTCCACATACACGCATATAAATCGTAAAATGCAGCAAACAGGCGAAATACAAATACTTGTATTGCCTCAGCCGGTTGGTCAGATAAAAGGTCTATGCAAATATTATGACTGCCAGTTGAGCAAACGCTAAGGCTGCCGACATAATCATAAATAAAATGTAAAGTCAATGCTTTATTAAACACAAGTATATAACCTTATAGCCATAAGAATGTTTAATACTTTGATTTATATTTATAGTCATTTTTAAGTTCAAATGAAAAGCAAAGTGGCTTGTGTTGAATTTGAGATGATCAATCCTTCGATTTATATTTATTCTTATTTTTATTATAAATTTTTATACTTATTTTTTATTTTACTTTCATAACCATTAAATGTTGTTATAAAATATGATTAAAATCAAAATATTTTAATATTAAAACACACAATATTTGTGATTTTACTTAAGTATTTATGGATTAAAAATAAATAACTGGAATTAGTAAGGTTTGGTAAAGATAAATTAGCTAAAACCTTTCGGTGGATTAATCAAACTCTTTTATTAATATTTGTCTGGGTACCCTAATGACCTTTAATTACCCCCAAAGAATAGTTGAATGAATTGATTTTACTTGATTTATTGTTTCTTATTGTCGGATTAGCACGTAGTTTAGGTGCCTAATGTGGGAGAACAAATACCTAATGACTTTAGTCGATGTGTACTTACCCACCCAATTCAATGTTCTTTTTTCCAGGACCCGCCCACTGGGCCAAGGACTACCCCCAAGCGTCGGGACATCGCCAATCGCCCGTGGACATCACGCCTTCCAGCGCCAAAAAGGGCAGCGACCTGAAGGTTTCTCCACTGAAGTGGAAGTATGTTCCGGAGCATACCAAGAGCCTGGTCAACCCTGGTAAGAACTACTTCTTAGTTCATTTACATAAAATACATTTTAAAGAAATATTTACCATTTTTTTTAAATTCCAGGATACTGTTGGCGCGTGGATGTCAACGGCACTGACTCCGAGCTGACAGGTGGACCCTTGGGCAATCAGATATTTAAGTTGGAGCAATTCCATTGCCACTGGGGTTGCACAGACTCCAAGGGATCCGAGCACACCGTCGATGGAGTGTCCTACGCCGGTGAGCTGCATCTGGTCCACTGGAACACCACTAAGTACAAGTCTTTCGGCGAGGCAGCTGCCGCCCCTGACGGTTTGGCCGTGCTGGGAGTGTTCCTGCAGGCTGGCAATCACCACGCCGAGCTGGACAAGGTGAGCAGCCTACTGCAGTTCGTTCTGCACAAGGGTGACCGCGTCACTCTGCCCCAGGGCTGTGATCCCGGCCAGCTGCTGCCTGATGTGCACACCTACTGGACGTACGAGGGCTCCCTGACAACTCCTCCTTGCTCCGAGTCGGTCATCTGGATCGTATTCAAGACCCCCATCGAGGTGTCTGACGATCAATTGAACGCCATGCGCAACCTCAATGCCTACGACGTGAAGGAGGAATGCCCCTGCAACGAGTTCAACGGCAAGGTCATCAACAACTTCCGTCCTCCGCTGCCGCTGGGAAAACGTGAGCTGCGCGAGATTGGAGGCCACTAATTCCTATGGGAACATGATCCTCACTCCTTGGATAGTCAACGGATTCGAGTCGTACGATTAGCTGTTCGCACCCACATACCACATCCGTACGCCTCGAGCTGGACCGGCACATCCCACTGTTCAATTCTCGTCTTTAGTTCGTACTCCCAGCAAGCATCCGTATCCGTATTCGCATCAGTCGATGTGTAGTTGTAACCTTATTTGTATATGTGTACGCCTGTTGGTTTGTTTGTTCGTTAAACGTTTGCAAAATGACAATTAGAATAATGTTATTATGGTATTATAAACTAAATATAACACGCTTAGATGTTGCATATGATAAGTCAAATGCGTTTTAATTCAATGGCAGAAACTTTAATCATTTTAATTTAGTTCCTTAAAAGGATATTCTCTTACCTGATCTCAAATTCTAGTCATTAGATTACTTTATTATTTTCCATATTCACAATAAAATTCCTTGTAGACATTTTCCATGGTTCATTGTCATCCAATTCAAATGGTCATTTATTTGGATTTGAAGTAAAGTTCAGCAACTCATTCGGCTTCTTGGTCCATTGAAGAAAGTATTGATCTTTTATATGTCGCCAAGCCAACTGATATTCTTTGGCCAAATCTTTACAAGAAGAATATGTTATATGATCAAGATCAGAAAGGTTTATATCAAGCATTTCGCATAGTAAAGTTTTGGATTTTAGTAAGTCTAGAAAATTGAGGAAGAAGTTGTATTTGCTGATCGCTAAGGCAGCTTGGTGAGTGTTTAGTTTTTTCTTGGTGACTCCTTGTCGCTTTCCATTTACAGAAATTTCATAAGGTCTGTGTAAAAGTAAATGTTATTATATTTTAATGTAAGTAATAATAAAAGTAAACTTGCCTTAAATCATCTGAGATTTTTGACCAAACTAAACCATTAGGCGACGGCTGCCAATCCGGGCGTTGTGCAAATTCAAATTTTATACCACAATCGATGCGTATCTGTGGTTTTTGAAGTTGAAAGCGATAATGCTTGAAGGATCTGCCCTCCCAACGTTTATAGATGGCTCTTTCTAAGGATTCCAGCTGCGCATCATCGCAACAAAAGTTCAAACTGTTGAAGTATATGGGTTTAGAGATCAGGGAATCTAGAAGAGCACCCTGGACACCCATTACATTCCATCTCGCTATCTTATCGCTACAGGACATGGATAAGGTGCGCTCTCCTCGTCCTGGTTTTGTTCGCAGGACTCCTGGTGTCTGCCGCATAGGATCATAATTTAGGTCACTTATCAACTTGGCGCCAGTATAAATTATCTCTGATTCCTTATCAAATCGCTGGCGTTTAGCCTGTTCCTCGGGATCTCCATCATCCAAGATGCAGGCATCTCCACAGGGCGTCTGGGTACTCAGGAAGTGGAACTCCACGTGCTCGTCCATGACGTAGGATTTTAGTTCGCTGTTCCAATGGAAGATCCTCTCCTGTTTCAGTTCTTCGTACAAAAAGCGAAGGAATGACCGACGCGCCAACACCTCGGCATGGGAATCGTTCACTATGAGGCCCTGCGAACAAAGTTTGGATTGTCCTATGCACTTGGTACCGCATCCAAGGGCCACCAGTTGACTGCTTCCCGTTTGCCGGTTGAACTCAACGATTCCCGCTAAAATAGTCCATTGATTTTCAGTGGGTTTTCCTGTTTTGGGCAAGGACTCAAATTTTTCGAAACAAAGTTCGGCTATATCCTGAACAGATGGTTTGTTTTTATCACACATTTTTTTTGTGTTTATTAGCCGATAAGTTTTAATCGAATAAATTAATCGAAATTATGAATGCATTTTTATGTAATTTTAACATAACTGTAATTTGGTCACATTCTTCGTTTATTTACATTTTTTTCATTAATTGTTGAAATCGAGCTTTATCTCTATTTTATGAATAAAAATTAGCTTACTAACAACAAAATTAACAAATAACCATGCCCAAAGTAGTATCTCGTAGTATCGTCTGTTCCGATACCAAGGATCAGGAGGAATACAACGAGGAAAAGCCACTGAACATTTACTACTGTCTCTGTAACAAGATGACTTTGATTCTGGGTAAATAACCTGAAGTTTTAAACCATAACCTTAACCAATAATGATTAATTGGTTGCACGCTTACAGATTGCACGCTTGATCAATTGCCACTTCGGGAAGTTGATAATGCCCGCGTAATAAATGGTAATGAACATGCCAACAAACTCACCTACAATCCTACTCCAAAGATGATCTACATAAAGCGGAAAAGCAGGGACAATGCGATAGAGAAGCAGTATCGCTATATGGTGAGCCAATCCCTTGTATTTCATCTGATTAACACACTTAACCCTAAGTATATACCCTTACAGTGTCGCAATTGCAATCTGCCACTTTACTATCGCCACAGCCCTGACTCTTTGGTGACATTCGTCATGTCCAATGCCGTGACCCGCAGCAAGGGCAAGAGTCCTTTAAGTCAACTTCTAAACTCCGAGGATAAGGGTAGCTTCAAACTACCATCTGCCAAGCCAGCAACTTCTACAGGACCAGAAGATTCGGGCATAGTGGATGCCAGTGGAAAGAAAGTTATGGTTACCAGACACACCAAGAACATGGGCAAATTCAGCTCGGTGACTGTGTCCACTATAGACGAGGAGGAGGATGAAATCGAAGCGGTAGGTTGTCTATTTTGGCCATAAATACCTTTTATACTTATAATTTTTTTTCATTAAACAGCGCGAGATTGCGGATAGCTATGCGAACAATGCAAGGATCATAGAGAAGCAGCTGCAGCGTAAGGGCGGAAAATTGAGCGATGTGGGGATCAAAAGCAAGACAGATGAAGCCCATCCACCGCATAAAAAGCAGCGGGGTACGCTACTCGAGAGATAGTCACCGTTTCTTATACTTTATTAACCATATTTAATGATTATACGAACTAAAGTACAATTGAACAATTGACTTTCACTTAAGAAATGTTATAGAACAGGCAGCTGACTTGTTAACTTTCTAGACCTTCTTTTCGGAAGCAAACTAGGATGTTGTGCTAATAATTTCTTAAGTCTTTGTTCGGCGTGCTGGTGATTCCATATTGAGTCCCTAACGAGACCACATCTGGGACACAGGTTGTACTCTGACTTGGGCTCTTTAATTTTGGATCCCTGCATTCTGGTCTCGATAACTTGTTTCATTCGGCTCGTGGTTCGTGGCGAGTTGTGCAGAGCGGTAAGTGGGCGGTGGTCGCTTTTCGGTGGGGATACAGCCTTCGCCAAGACCGCCTTTTGTTTGCTCCTGACCAGCTCGAGGGCTTGATTCGCTCTAGCTTTGGCCAGTTGCAATTCATAAGGCGTCTTGGGCAGACTGTAAATATAATCGCACCAGTCCTCGCGCAACTTGTTTACAGCCTCCATGTCTAACCATGTCTTGCGTGCCTTGGTCTCCCATTCTGTTCTCCGGATACTGCCTAACTTATAGGCAGACATTTTATGAAAATCGAGATAACTGAAAATTTAACAAAAAAATGATAGATTTTCGATTTTTTTTCGGTAACTGTAACATTAAATTTATTTGTTACATTTATTTGGTTTACTTTACAAATATACATATGTATTTACAATATTGCTAATACATTTTAAACGACTCTAGTTGATTTTCAGTTTAAATAGCTAACAATACTCTCAGTCCAGTTTGATTCTTTTTGCATGATTTTGTACTGCAACTGGTTGTATATGCTTAATTGATTTAATTGGACTTGTTGCATGAAAAATGTGTATCCTCAAAGCTTACAAGAGTTCTGTTCAGTTCTGGAAAAGAATTTCAGCTAGTTTCCGATCGCGATTCGTTTGAATCGGACGCTCCTCTGACGTTTCCTATAAAGTGTATTGAATTAGTTAAGAGATAAATGGATTTCTTACAAATCCTGGCAATTTTATTTCTAATGCTTGGAGTACCATCATTTGCAATTCAGTGCGATGGTGGAGATTGTCTGCCTTATCACCGCTGCTTGTACGCCAAGAAGATGAAAAAGGTTCCTTATTGTGCTGATGGATCTGTTTGCTGTAAGCGTCCAACTATACCTAAACATCAAACTCTATCGGAAAGAGGTATTTGTAAAAAAAAATAATGTTTAAGAATAGTACCTACAATCCCTCTCAGCCTGCCAGGACTACTCAAACGACAAATCCTTCTGCCCACCGGAGTTACTTATATTTAATGGAAATTTGACCTCCCGCCATGAACGTCAATATATGGCAGTTATTGGAAAAAGGGCGAAGGGCCATTCGATGGAGAATCCAGAATGGATCTGCGGCGGAACAATAATTCATAAGAGATTTGTACTAACTGCAGCCCACTGTATTCGCCTACGCAATGAAGATCCGTAAGTGTAAGTTATATAATCTTAATTACTATTACATAATCTATTTTATAGTGACTTTTTCGTTATACTTGGAGCCCACAATAAAAGTAATGGGCAAATATATAAAGTAAATAAAGAGATCCATCACCCCGATTACCGCGACGTAAACGACAACTCAGTGAATGATATAGCGCTGCTTGAGTTGAATGAAACCATAGTTTTCAACGAGAAAATAAAACCTGCCTGCCTGGCCACATCTCCTGTGAGTGATCACGAAACACTCACAGTCTGTGGATGGGGTTACATGGACTCCTATTCAAAAATGCAATCCAAAGAGCTACGAAAGGCCGACATTCAGGTACTGAACATTTTAAACTGTTCCAATGCCATTAGTGAACTGCAGATTTGCGCCGGAGGTGTCAATGACATAAGCGACGTGTGCCAAGGAGATTCCGGAGGACCGTTGGCCAAATGGCATCCAAAGTGGGGCGGTTGTTTGGGTCAAGTGATCGGAGTTGTATCCACAGGTGGATTATGTGACGCCCAGAACCCGACAACTAAATACACTAATGTTTTTCACTTTGTGAAATGGATTGAGGACATAGTTTGGGGTGGCACAAATAAATAGCACAACTAATATATGTATATTCTTATCAAGGTCACCATTGAGTAATAAGGAAATATAAGTGCATTAGTTATCATAATCCGCCATAAAAACTAACTAAAATTGTTTGGTTTTTCTGATTTGATTTTAGTTCGCTTAAAAATTAATTTTATAAAATCCGATTTTGTATTGTTCTTTAAAAGACAAAATAATATTATAATAATATTAATATCATTTTTATATTATAATAATAATATAAAATGTATATCGGGGTTGTCTTCAAAACTGTCATTAAACTCAGTTATTAACCGAAAAAGAAACCTCCCGGTTTTAAAACTGGCATTCCAATATATTAATTCAAAACTCTTCCTCTTACCCTGGAATGCCATTCTCGGCGTATGCCATTACCATTCACAGGTCGCGCTGCCATTGTACCTAGCGCAGCCAACTTAACGCCATTGAAGAGAAAAATATTGAAGATACATATTCTGAAAACAAGTGCTTGAACCAAAGCAAAACGCGAATAAACGACTTGCCGAGCGAAAAAAGAACGCGAATCGAGTGTGTGTAATTGCAATGCGAGGCTCGCCCGGGTGATCCGGCTGCGCCAGGTGCCCAGGTTCCAGGTTCCACTCCACTCGTCGCTCGACCCATACAAACAACGGGCGGGGAGGCCGAGGCTAAGCGGCCAACGAAGGTGCTCCACTGTTCCACGGCGCACAGGATGTTCTCGGGACCCAGCGGCCATGCCCACACCATTAGCTACGGGGGCGGGATCGGTCTCAGCGGCGGAGGTGGTGGCGCCCATGGCAGTGTTGGCATTGGCGGAGGGGGCGTGGCTGGGTTGCTGGACTGCGATGGATATGACTTCACCAAATGTGAAAATGCGGCCAGGTGGAGAGGATTGTTTACCCCCTCCCTGAAAAAGGTGCTGGAACAAGTGCATCCACGAGTCACCGCCAAGGAGGATGCCCTGTTGTATGTGGAGAAGATCTGTCTTCGGTTGCTCGCCATGCTGTGCGCCAAGCCGTTGCCCCACTCCGTCCAGGATGTGGAAGACAAGGTCAATAAATCCTTTCCTGCGCCCATTGACCAGTGGGCCCTGAACGAGGCCAAGGAGGTCATCAACTCGAAGAAACGCAAGTCTGTTCTGCCTACGGAACGGGTGCACACGCTGCTCCAAAAGGATGTGTTGCAGTACAAGATTGACAGCTCCGTCTCCGCATTTCTAGTGGCTGTGCTTGAGTACGTCTCCGCCGACATTCTGAAAATGGCTGGCGATTATGTGATGAAGATTGCCCACTGCGAGATCACTAAGGAGGATATCGAAGTCGTAATGAATGCCGACCGAGTGCTTATGGATATGCTCAACCAAAGCGAGGCCCACATTCTTCCCAGCCCACTTTCGCTGCCTGCCCAGCGCGCGAGTGCCACCTACGAGGAGACAGTGAAAGAGCTGATCCACGACGAAAAGCAGTACCAGCGCGACCTGCACATGATCATACGCGTTTTTCGCGAAGAGCTGGTTAAGATCGTGTCGGATCCACGAGAGTTAGAACCTATTTTCTCAAACATCATGGACATTTACGAAGTGACTGTGACCCTGCTCGGCTCCCTAGAGGACGTAATTGAGATGTCCCAAGAGCAGAGCGCTCCATGTGTAGGCAGCTGCTTTGAGGAACTGGCTGAGGCCGAGGAGTTTGACGTCTATAAGAAGTACGCTCACGATGTGACCTCCCAGGCCTCACGGGATGCTTTGAGCAATCTCCTGTCTAAGCCAGGGGTAAGTCAAAACATGTAAATGTATGAAATTCTTCTACAATCTCTGTTTTTAGGCATCATCCTTGACAACAGCCGGCCACGGCTTTCGTGATGCCGTTAAGTACTATTTGCCCAAACTGCTTCTGGTGCCCATTTGCCATGCCTTCTTCTACTTTGACTACATTAAACATCTAAAGGATCTCAGTTCATCGCAGGACGACATCGAGAGCTTCGAACAAGTTCAGGGACTGCTGCATCCACTTCATTGTGATCTTGAGAGGGTTATGACGGGCCTGTCGAAGGAGCGACTAGTTCCCGTCAGCGGTCGAGTTCGCCGACAGCTAGCCATCGAGCGGACACGTGAGCTCCAAATGAAGGTTGAGCACTGGGAAGACAAGGACGTGGGTCAAAACTGCAATGAATTTATTCGCGGTGAGTATATCAGGAAAAATAATAGCTGACCATAAACAAATAAATAGTAGTTGATAAACAAACTACTTAGCTTTTTAGCATAACATATAACAGATACAGTCATATTCTTTAACCAATTTTTAATCTAAATTCACAGAGGATTCCCTAAGCAAGTTGGGATCTGGAAAAAGAATCTGGAGCGAGCGCAAGGTATTTCTTTTTGACGGACTCATGGTGCTGTGCAAGGCAAACACCAAAAAGCAAACACCATCGGCAGGAGCAACGGCCTATGATTATCGGTTGAAGGAGAAGTACTTTATGCGACGCGTTGATATCAACGATCGGCCGGACAGCGACGACCTGAAAAACAGCTTTGAACTGGCCCCTAGGATGCAGCCGCCGATCGTGCTGACGGCTAAGAATGCACAGCACAAGAACGATTGGATGGCGGACCTACTGATGGTGATCACAAAGTCAATGCTAGATCGACATTTAGACAGCATATTGCAAGACATCGAGCGGAAGCATCCACTGCGCATGCCGAGTCCGGAGATTTATAAATTCGCGGTTCCGGACAGCGGCGACAATATCGTTCTAGAGGAGCGTGAAAGCGCAGGAGTGCCGATGATTAAGGGGGCGACGCTGTGCAAATTAATCGAGCGACTCACTTATCACATCTACGCTGATCCGACCTTCGTGCGCACCTTCCTCACTACATATCGCTACTTCTGCTCTCCCCAACAACTATTGCAGCTGCTGGTGGAGCGCTTTAACATACCGGATCCTAGCTTGGTTTATCAGGACACCGGCGCGACAGGAGCTGGAGGAATCGGAGGTGTTGGCAGTGACAAAGAACACAAGAACTCTCATCGCGAGGACTGGAAGCGCTACCGCAAGGAGTACGTGCAGCCAGTCCAGTTCCGAGTTCTTAACGTTCTGCGCCATTGGGTGGATCATCATTTCTACGATTTCGAGAAGGATCCTATGTTGTTAGAAAAGTTACTGAACTTTCTGGAGCACGTAAATGGTAAATCGATGCGAAAGTGGGTGGACTCCGTGCTTAAGATTGTTCAAAGAAAGGTGAGTAATCAAAGTTCCTTCACAATGTTGAACACCTATTTATTTTTTGTGAATTCCTTATAGAATGAACAGGAAAAAAGCAATAAGAAGATTGTATACGCCTATGGCCACGATCCGCCGCCCATTGAGCATCATCTTACTGTTCCCAATGAAGAAATTACGCTTCTCACCTTGCATCCACTAGAACTGGCCCGCCAACTCACTCTGCTAGAATTTGAAATGTACAAAAATGTGAAGCCCTCGGAACTTGTCGGGTCTCCCTGGACGAAGAAGGACAAGGAAGTGAAGAGTCCTAATTTACTGAAAATTATGAAGCACACCACAAACGTGACTCGCTGGATTGAGAAATCCATCACCGAAGCGGAGAATTTCGAGGAGCGCTTAGCAATCATGCAACGGGCTATTGAAGTGATGATGGTGATGCTGGAACTGAACAATTTCAATGGAATCCTCTCAATTGTTGCGGCCATGGGAACGGCATCAGTTTATCGACTGCGGTGGACATTCCAGGGATTACCAGAGCGATATAGAAAATTCTTGGAGGAATGCCGCGAACTTAGTGACGATCATCTTAAAAAGTATCAGGAAAGATTGAGATCTATTAATCCGCCTTGTGTGCCATTTTTCGGTCGCTACTTGACAAATATACTCCACTTGGAAGAGGGCAATCCAGATCTACTGGCAAACACTGAGCTAATCAACTTCTCTAAACGGCGAAAAGTTGCCGAGATTATTGGTGAAATTCAACAGTACCAGAACCAGCCATACTGCCTCAACGAGGAGTCCACCATTCGGCAGTTCTTTGAGCAATTGGATCCGTTTAACGGGCTATCCGACAAACAGATGTCTGACTATCTTTATAACGAAAGCCTACGCATTGAGCCAAGGGGCTGCAAAACAGTGCCCAAATTTGTAAGTATTTTAAATAAATATAATTTTCAGCTGTAATTTTACAATTCACTTTCTCTTTGCTTCTCAGCCTCGCAAATGGCCGCACATTCCGCTTAAATCGCCGGGCATCAAGCAGCGTCGTCAGAATCAGACTAACAGCAGCAGCAAGGTGTCTAACAGCACATCGTCAGCCGCAGCGGCTGCCTCGTCTACGGCCACCACAATCGCGACGGCAGCAGCTCCATCTGTGCACCCGGCCAATGCATTGGATCCACCAACATCGACTGCCAATGCTGGATTTGGAACACTCGCCGGCGAACAAAGTCCGCAGCACAATCCGCACGCGTTCTCCGTTTTTGCCCCTGTCATTATACCTGGAAGGAATACTAGCAGCTGGACTGGAACGCCACAGCACACTCGCTCGGATCAAAACAATGGAGAGGTTTCGGTGCCGGCGCCACATCTCCCCAAGAAACCAGGTCTGCATGTCTGGGCCACCAAAACGCCATTGCCGAGTGCGTTAAATATGGATATGTTCAGTCCAGCGATGCCTGAGAATCTTCAATTTGCATTGAGCATGTCAGACACGGATGCCCCGTCCTCGCCACTGCCCAAGGTAGTAGTAAGTCCACGACACGATACTGGGGAGGCTTCGGTGCCGGCGCCACATCTTCCTAAGAAACCTGGTTTGCAAGTCTGGGCTGCCAAAGGGGGATTGCCTAATGCGTCAACAATGGATGTGTTCAATCCAGCGAATCCGGAGCATCTTCCACCGCAGTCCCTTCCAGATAGCAATCAATTCGGTTTGAACATGTCGGACACGGATGTCCCATCCTCGCCGCTGCCCAAGGTAGTGGTTAGTCCGCGACACGAATCCGGCAATCGATCACCATTCCATGGACGAATGCAGAACAGCCCAACGCATAGTATTGCCAGTACCGTGACACTTACAGGAGCGATTACATCTGGAGAAGAGTTCTGCCCTGGTGGATTCTATTTTAACAATACCAATCAGGGACAAACGGGTGCGGTGCCTATATCTCCCCATGTTAACGTCCCGACGGCCTCACATCTAGAGTACCGAGCAGTGCCGCCACCACTGCCGCCAAGACGCAAGGAACGCACGGAGAGCTGTGCAGACATGGCGCAAAAGCGACAAGCGCCAGACGCACCTACAGTAAGTAGTTAAACATTTGAATTAGTTTATTGGCTTCTTACAGGCTGACACCAATTTTTAAATATTGATATAAATTGTTCTTACAGTTACCGCCTCGTGATGGCGAACCCAGTCCGCCGCCTATACCGCCACGGCTCAACCATTCCATGGGCATAAGCTATTTGCGACACAGCCACGGCAAAAGCAAGGAGTTTGTGGGCAAGAGCAGTCTGCTTCTGCCTAACACCAGCAGTATTATGATACGCCGGAACTCGGCGATTGAGAAGAGGGCAGCGGCAGTTACTCAGCAGACGGAGCCGTCGGTGGGGCCCATCAGCACAACGTTAGTGACGGTGTCCCAGGCGGTGGCGACAGATGAACCTCCGCCGCTACCGATCTCACCCGCTGCCAGCTCCTCGACAACAACATCACCGCTGACACCCGCCATGTCGCCCATGTCCCCAAACATTCCCAGCCATCCGGTGGAGAGTACTTCAAGTAGTTATGCCCACCAACTGCGAATGCGGCAACAGCAGGCGCATCCGACGATCTATTCGCAACACCATCATGCTCCCCATCTGCCGCACCATCATCAACAGCACAATTCGAATCCGACGCAATCAAGCTCGTCCCCCAAGGAGATCTTTCCGATTGCCACGAACCTTCAGGGCACACCAAAACTTCCACCAAAACCTAGTCTAAGCGCTAACTTCTACAACAATCCAGGTGAGTTGCTAGCATCTTTGATTTATAACTTTATACCTTATTAATTTATTTACTTCAGATAAAGGTACGATGTTTCTTTACCCAAGTACAAACCAAGAATAATTTAAATTGCCTGGCGATGTGATAGGACAAAAACTACGAGTATGATCCATAAGATTCAAAATTGAGAGTACTGCCAGTGTGCAGATATACATATATTAACGGAACGTGAGATAGTTACGTAGGCACAGTTTATGTATTATAATTTGCATACGTATGGCAGATATGCAGATATGGACCGAGTTGGATCTAATGATTTTTATTATTCGAAACTCATTAAACAAAATTAAAACAGAACACACACTCTCATGACTACACAACACAACACGCGAATGCAAAACACAAACAAAAACCCAACAACAAATGCAAAAGAGAAATTATGTTATTATATAATTATTATTATAAATATTTGTAAATATCAGAACATTGTAATGATCGTAGAACGTAAAACAATAAAATATAACCCTATTGTTAGACAGTTGGAGATGACTTTTACTGGCTTTATAAGTAATCTGATGGCTTTTCTTTGATTTAAAACTAAAAGAAGTAAATTGTTTATGTTGCCAAGGCTCTTCGAGTGCAGACGTTCTATCTTTAAGTACGCACCCAATCCATATAGGCCCGATGGCCTTGAAAAAACCATAACACCTTTGATTTTGTACCATTAAGCAGCATCATTAACATATATTGCTAATTAGTTTCGGTAGGAAAGAAAAACTAGAGCGATTGTCGACGCTAACTAATTGTTGTGGCAGTGCATTAAATGCAATTAAATTGGAAATACACATTTACACATGTATTTGAAACGACTTGACTTTCGCTTTTCTAACGTCATGATCGTTGAAAAAATGCTTCCTGAAATTTTGGGCTGATCGTTGAAACAGGTTTTTGTTTTTGAATTATTTTCGTATATACTGGCTAATATACGTGTGTCCAGCCCCTTATCGCAAGTTATTGGTGTTGTTATGGGTGCATCCAACAAAATCCCCCAGTTACCTCCCAAAATGACGTGTCATTTAACCGAACCGATTTGGATCTTCTGGATATCACTGCTGGTGTGTTGCCAAGGTGAATAAACCATCGGTAAACGTCATTATTGCATTAAAGGAATATCTGAGTTTATAATGGACGGAAACCAAATAGGTTGAGCAATTTTTCATACGTCCAATTGTATCCTATGAACACATTCAATATATCATTGCAGACATTTGGGAAATTTCCGTTGAATGTGCACTTTTATTTATAGAGAGAAAATCGTGTACTCCATACCCTATAGCCAAGGCCATTGCCCGAGATCAGTTATGGGTCTCAAGGGCTGTAAAATCTAATGTCCAATCGCTTTTCTTTCAACTTGACCAACATAAAAAGGTGTCAATTATCGAAAGCTAGGCGACCTAACCAACCTAAGTAACTCTCAATTTTCTCGATATCACGTTTCAGTTGCGCAATTTACACAACAATTGGCCAAAGAATTATTCAATGAATTTGCATTTAATGCATATTTGATTGCAGCTAATGAGAGAGAAACCCCACGGAAAATTGCTGGAGGAGATTATAAAGAGACCTCTGCGCATAATCATCTCGCGGCAATTACATTGAATGTGTATTCCTACATAATTGTATTACATGAGCATATCAATTAGGCAGCCAATTACCCGCAATATCTCGCCCTTCTCCGGCAGCAATTCTGGGAGAATTCAGTGATGACTGGACCAGGGAAATCCCTTTAAAGAGAGCTCGGCCATATCAAGGAATCAAATGCATTCGTTTAAATCAAAAACCACCGGGCCACAAACAGAACCAGAATCCACGAACCAGCCATATAAGATCGGAGATCGCTCGGCTCTCGAGCGGCATTGTCTTTATGTAAGCGGCATTCGGTTTCGGATTCTGAATTGTGGAAAGTCGTCGAGCTTTTATAAAAGCGGCAACAACAGCGCCCGTTCATTCAGTTCGCCAGCGGATCATTCAGAATCATTGTCAAGTGCAACCTGCAGCAACAGCAGCACCAACAGCAGCAACAGGACCAGGAACAGCACCAACATCAACATAATCTATTACAATCGCAGCGTCAGCCAAAAGTATTTTACAGTATAAACATCAGTCGAGAGCCAACAAAATGCTGGCCAGCGAGAATTTTCCCACACATCACTTCAAGGAATCTATATTTAAGCCTTACAGTACAAGTGGCGATGATTTGGCAAGCGTTAACCCATTGACAGCAGCCACATTGGTGGCTGCCACGTCGTCATCGGCTGATTCCGCCTCCGCAGTTGCATTCGAGACGGCCAGCAAAATGTTAGCCGCCAACAATAACAGTAACACGGATCCCAAGGATGATCTATCTAGTTTTGTGGCCAGCCATCCAGCGGCCGAGTTTGAGGGCTTTATACGTGCCTGCGTCGACGAGATCATAAAGCTGGCGGTCTTCCAGGGCACAAATCGCTCCTCCAAGGTCGTCGAATGGCACGAGCCAGCCGAACTGAGCAAGCTCTTCGACTTCCAGCTGAGGGACAAAGGTGAATCCCAGGATAAGCTCCGTGAGTTGCTGAGGGAAACGATTCGATTCTCGGTCAAGACTGGACATCCGTACTTCATCAACCAGTTATATTCGGGTGTGGATCCCTATGCCCTAGTGGGACAGTGGTTAACCGATGCCCTTAATCCCAGCGTGTATACGTATGAGGTGGCTCCATTGTTTACTTTGATGGAGGAGCAAGTGCTGGCCGAGATGCGGCGTATTGTAGGATTCCCCAATGGAGGCCAGGGCGATGGCATCTTCTGTCCTGGCGGTTCGATTGCCAACGGTTATGCAATCAGCTGCGCCCGCTACAGACACTCGCCTGAATCCAAGGTAAGTGCCCGATCAAAGCCAAGTGGTTTACCGCCAATCCACACGGAAGTTCGCAACATTCTGTTGAGTGATTGGCGCCACACTGCTGGCCAAATAATTAGTCATACCTGTTGTGTAAGCTACTAAAACCGAACGCTTTTAAAGATTATTTATTATGACAAATATTATAAAATTAATACTAAGTAAAATTAATTTTCATTACCACTTACGTTTTAACGAAATTTTAAGTTTAAAGCAAAAGCAATAACAAAGATAATTCCCTAAAGAACTTCTCGTGTCAAAAAAGGGGATATATAGACTATTTACTTTGAGATAATGTTCAAATCTTTGCCATAACACATCACACTATAAGATTATATCAATATTATTCATTTACTTATTTAATCTTTAGAAAAATGGACTCTTCAACGCGAAAGCCATTGATTATCTTCACCTCGGAGGATGCTCACTACTCGGTGGAGAAGCTGGCCATGTTCATGGGTTTTGGAAGCGAGCATGTCCGCAAGATAGCCACCAACGAGGTGGGCAAGATGCGGCTGAGCGACCTGGAGGATCAAGTGAAGCAGTGCCTCGAAAACAACTGGCAGCCCCTGATGGTCTCAGCCACAGCAGGAACCACAGTGCTGGGCGCTTTCGATGATCTAGCTGGAATCTCGGAGCTGTGCAAGAAATACAACATGTGGATGCACGTAGATGCGGCTTGGGGAGGCGGTGCCCTCATGTCTAAGAAGTATCGCCATCTCCTTAATGGCATCGAACGGTGAGTTTTAATCTTAAACGAGATTTTTGAAAGGGAAACTAAACATGTTTTTCACAGTGCTGATTCAGTAACTTGGAATCCACACAAGCTGCTTGCTGCTTCGCAGCAGTGTTCCACCTTCTTGACGCGTCACCAGCAGGTGCTGGCCCAATGCCATTCAACCAACGCTACCTACCTGTTCCAGAAGGACAAGTTCTATGACACATCTTTTGATACCGGTGACAAACACATTCAGTGTGGTCGACGAGCGGATGTCTTCAAGTTCTGGTTCATGTGGAAGGCCAAAGGTACGCAGGGATTGGAGGCCCATGTCGAGAAGGTCTTCCGTATGGCTGAGTTCTTCACCACCAAAGTGAGGGAGCGCCCAGGATTCGAGCTGGTCCTCGAGAACCCCGAATGCACCAACATCAGCTTCTGGTATGTACCGCCTGGTCTACGGCAGATGGAGCGCAATCGGGAGTTCTACGACAGACTGCACAAGGTGGCACCCAAGGTGAAAGAGGGTATGATCAAGAAGGGCTCCATGATGATCACTTACCAGCCGCTGCGACAGTTGCCTAACTTCTTCCGCCTGGTGTTGCAGAACTCCTGCCTGGAGGAGTCGGACATGATCTACTTCCTGGACGAAATCGAGTCGTTGGCCGAAAACTTGTAAATGGAAGCGAAAGCATGTTATGAGGTTAAGTGTTGAAAACATTCTATTTAGGCTTATGCCGATTATATCTTCTAGTGTATGGTTAATATGGATGTTTAGTATTACCTAAAAAAGAACAAAAATACATAATTATAGGTCATTTGATTTAGACTAAATTGTTTTCTTTTATTTGGCATGGGACAAAAACTAGTAATTAATCCAACAACAGAAATTAAACAACATCTTAACTATTAGATATGTTCCATGAGGTAGATATTTTGATTTCAAATTTGCTTAGTATCGACAGCCATTAATTGGTCCGAAAATATAAATTGGCTTACATCCAAATTGTCTTGTCAAATCGTTTTTAAATTAAATTTAATTTGCCTTTCAAAACGTTTTAGAGGAACTAGTTACCCTACTCAACTTAATAACCCTTAGTCACTGACTTAACAACTTAAATTACAAATAAATATGAGTACTTCAAGCTAACTCTGTTTGATCCAAGTCCACTGACTGACATCGTTACCACCGGCTTTCTCAATTGCCTCTGCTACACTCAAACTCTGACCTGGCTGAATCCCATAACCAATACGCAGTCCATGCGGATTTGATGGCGTCTTGCAGTCCATGGTGCATTCTTTGCGTAAGACAGTGTCCACTTCCACAGAAGAAAAGAAGGCCACCGACATGGGCAGATCTTTGAGTCCAATGCGAGAAACGCAAAAGGACCGCGTCATTAGGTTGGTGATGTGCATGGCCAATGCCGCCTTGGGGGACAGCTCCTCCTTGACTAAGTAACGCAATTCATCATGAAAGCTTAGACAAAAACGAACGTGCGGTCCCATGAGCCAGCGCATGCTCACCAGCATAAGATGAAGGAAGTCCACGGCGCCACTTTGTACCACCCAGTTGATGCGAGTGGGTAGGAATCGTTGCTCCTGATCTGCGCCGCCATCTGCTTCCAATGCGCGACTAAGGCGTCCACCCAAAAAAGGTGTTTGCGGCTGAGACCGAGTAGCAATCTCCTCCAGACGATTGAACATGGCGCTCTCAGTTCCACCTTGCCAGTTGGGACGATAAAATACTTCACCGAGGGTGCGATTGCGTTGAATGGCAATTCGAGAAGCCTCGTAGCTGCTGTATCTGCAGAAATTAAGGATCACTTAACATGTTTCCTTTTTTGATTTTAAGGTTTTAAAGGACTACTTACGGCCTGTCATCTAGTTCGTCGTGAAACTCCTCTCGCAGGCGATACACCCGCTTGCCTTTGGTAATGGAGAACATTTTCATAGCCTTGGCTTTAGCCTCGGAAGCACTAAAAGTGGGATTGAACTGGCGGAGCAGTGTCTCCGCAAACAATTGTCCAGCTCCATAGATCCGGGCGTAATTTATGACTTTGGCATGATCTCGAGAAATACCGACAGCCTTTGCTGTTATAGAGTGCATGTCGCTACCATTCGATTTACTCCCACTGAGAGTCATCCAGCCGAGTGGAGTGGCTCCATGTTCCCCATAGGCATAAGCATCTCCCAGCACGGAAGCAATCCATAATTCCTGCGAGTCGACATCAGCACCTACCAGCCTGTAACCCGGTGGAGCCTGCACCATGGAGCGCAGCTCAGAGCCGAGGCGATCAGGCCGCGAATTCGAAGCCGTCATCCATGTGGGCTCCATGGCTCGGCGAGTTAATGTGCCACAGGCAACTACCTGGGGACAAATGGCTCCATATGACGTCAGCTGGGCATTTTCACCAGTGAGTTCCTTAGGCAGTTGCTGCTGATCCAGCCAGACTACCATCTGACCCATGATACGATCCCGGTTGTTGCGCCAGTACGACATCATGCGAGCAATGTCGATGACGCGGGCAGCAGCCTGGCAAGATGGATCTCCACTGCTTAACACGTTTTCGGAGAACTTGTTGAGGAAATCCTTGGACAAAGGATTTCCCACTCGAAAGGAGGGTCCATTCTTATGGGGCAGTTTAAGGAAAAAGCAACAATCTTCCAGTGTCTTGTTGCACCAAACACCAGAGCCTAAAAAATGAATAAATTAGATGAAACCCACGTATATATAACTTATATTTACCTTGGTACTGAGTTTCCAAGCGTTGTTGTTTCTGAGATAACTTCTTGTAGTGCTCTCGCTTTCCTAGATGCTGCTCAACTTGACCAGGGAGCATATCTAAAGCCAGATCACTCTCTGCCTTTGAGGCACTCTGTCTTGCAAATTCGGGCACTGGACAACGATCCAAAAGTTGACCCATTGGCAGTCGTTCCACTCCTTCCGCATCGCTGCGAAAAGGAACTAGAAATCCCCACCCTTGTTCTCTCTCGTAGTGCAACGGATATCCTTCCCAGCAAAGGGAAAGTAACTTGGGGGCAATCTGCATACTCGTGCTGATCTCGCTGGCACCTGGGCACCACATCTCTTCTTCGTCTTCCAAGATTTCGTTTTTCTTTTTATTTGGTGGTTTGCGGCACAACTTGCGATACCACAGAGGATATCCGGGAAGTAATGGTCTACGAGCTGGCAATAATGCCCGTTGATCGTAAAGGTGCTGGAATTTGGCTTGCAGACGACGCTGCTCTGGGGTATTTCCACAATTCTGTCGCTCATCCTTTGGCAAAGGCTTGCGCTTTGGTGGCTGCTTTAGCTTCAGATCCTGAACGCTCCAGTCCTCGTCCCACAGCCACAGATTTTGGCGGTACTGCTCGTCTAGCAGCAAGGAGCAAGCTTCCTCAGCTCTGCGTCCCAAATGGTACTTGGCCTCGATGATAAGGTCTTCGTAGGTTAGCTGCGCCTCGCGTATGTAACGCTCCCAGTTAGAGTTTACAGGCAAATATGCGGATCCCATCTCCAACATCCCAGCCAAGGATGCAGGATGCGGGAAGCGTTCTGCGTACAAAGGATACAAAACTCGGAGCACCCTGTGGGTGGCCTCCACATCGCCGGCGCAGTAGTTCGTCAACGCCTGAAAGCTCTGGCGCACTTGCTCGAGAGTTCCCTCTACAAAAGTATTCCGAGGTTCCTTTGAGAATGACTCTCCACCACAATATAGTCGGTGTACCTCCACCAAACTATTAAGGGAGCTTTGTTCAAGCCATCCCAGATCCTCAGGAGCCGGTTCCTTCTTGGACTTAAGCATTGCACGCTGATAGCTGGTCACGCCACTAACGCACATGTGCAGCGACATGGTGTCAACGAACCGAGTGCCCGTGTCCTCGATCAAATACTGCTCCTTTAGTCGCGCTCTGTCGTAAGAGACATTGTGTCCAACCACCAGACCAGGTCCATTCCTTCCCAGGGGTATAAGTTCATCGGGAGAGTAGTGCGGTCGCTCTGAATCCGTATCCGCATCCAGGGGTTCTATTTTTGCAAGACTCAGACGGTGTTTGGTGAGCTTGGGACTTACCCAGGAATACCATCTCTTGGTGCTGACGGCTGTGGCCAGAACAGGAGTCTGTCCTTCCTTGACGCACACCTCCACATCGAAGATTAGTCCTTTCTCAAGTGGTTGATCCACAGGAATAGCCGTTCCTGCCTCAGGATCATATGCTGTCCATCCAGCAAAAAAGGCCCATCGCTTGGGTCGCTTTGGTAGTTCTTCACATTCAACAAGAGGAAGAAGTAGCTCCTCGTATGGCTGCACCTGCTCCTTGGCTATGTTGTAGAAGTGCTCTTCAATGTTGGCGCCCCTTAATGGAGGTAGTTTTAGTTGAACATCTGGAACAGGATCACAGCTTTCGATGTCTACGCCGTGCTTGCGCAACTCATCCTGGAAAAACTTGGCGGAGGTCACCTGCTGATCCGAAATGCTTCTAGGGGTTTGAGGAAATAGCTGTACGTGCAGATTACGCGAGATCATCTGCACCTTAACGAGATTCTCCGCATAATCAGGTTGCTCCTCCACATTCTCCGGCTTTTTTGGATTGTTTACCTTTGGCAAGGGTTTCATCCGGCGGTAGATCTTTAGGCTACTGCTGGCATAGCGCTCCCTGCTAACCTTGCTGGCGTAATTTCTTATCAGGTGGAGTTTCATATTTTGTTATTTGGAATAAACATCCTTTCCAACGCAATCAGAAGTCCAGCTGGCGGCTCTTCACTCCTCTGCCAGTGAATAGGGTATTTTCATGCGCTTGCGCGGCGGTCACATTAAATAAATTTTGAATTTCCGTTAGAATTCAATTTGTTACAAGCCCATAAAAAACTTTTATAATCGAAATAAAACTTTATATTTATAAAAAAATGCATAATCCTCTATCTATTTAATAAAAAGCGCACCTCCATTTGATTTTTCGAATAAAAAACATTTTATTCAGTTTGCTATAAAGGTGAAACACTTTAAAACACACACACAGACTTTCGGAACCATTATGGAAGTAGGAGGGAAAAGAACAATCTCTTCAGTTAATTTATGTAAAAAGGCTTTCGCACGGTACAAGAACAATGGGAAAAGCGATTTTGGAAAACATTTTGGCAAATACTGCGCTCCTGGCCAGGCCAACACACTCGCTAACAGACAATAACACGTAACGCTGGTCCGTTCCGGGCCGAACTAGATCTGCAGGTTGCGCATACCTCCGTTGATGCCGCCCTGCTCCACATTCCAGATGACCAGCTGCCCGTCGACGCCCGAGGTGGAAACCTTGCTGGCGCTAGCCTTGTCGCCGGCGTACAATCGTACGCTGGTAATAGCGTTCTGGTGGATAGAGTCGACCACAGTGTCCGTGTTCTCCGTTCGCATGTTGCGGTCCATTGACTGGAAGATCCTCATGGCTGTAATGCCACTGGACTCCTTCTTCTGCGACTTGTCTAGCTTGCCGCTCAGCACCAACTTTCCGTCTGCAGTCAGGCTATAAAGTAGTGGCACGCAGCTATAGCCGGCCACCACGACGGATGTGGGCGATACCCACTCGCAGGATAGGAAGGGCAAATATCCGGTGCGGCATCGGATCACCGTGTTGCCGTTTGTGGCGTCAGCGATGCTCACACAGCTGTCGTGACCCACCCAGCAGACCTTGTTGCCGTCGCTGGAAAAGCTTACGCTGTTGATCCACCCACCGCCGGAAGTTTGCGAGTTCCTGAACTCGGCCATCAACTGGCCAAGCGGCTTACGAGGACCCCACGGCGTTGGCGTTGGTGGCTCCTCGATGTCTTTGATGAAGGCCGAGAAAACTCGTACCTTGTAGTCCGTCGAGCCGGCCAACAGGAGGACGTTATTTGGGTGCCAGTCCAGCGAAGTTACCGTCGAGCGGATCGGCTTCTTGATGTGCTTAGACACCCACCAGTCGTTTTCAGACTCAAAGTAGCACACGGAGATTAGTCGGGCTCCCGAACCCACGGCGAACTTGTTCTCCGCTGGCGACCACTTAACACAGGTGGCCGCACGATTAATGCGCAGCAGCACCAACGTCGGTTTCCACTTGCCATCATCGCCCTGCGTCCAGACATAGGCATTCCTATCGGCGGCACAACTCACAATCCGATTGGTATTCTTGGCCCAATCGATGCCCATGACGCGCAGATCATGCTGGTTGAGCACGTCCGCCAGCTTCCAGTCGCTGCCCTCCCGGCTGTATATGTGAATCTCATGGTTGTTCGGCGATAAGGCAATCTCTGTGAATTTCGAGTGGGTGAGTCACAATACCGGATGAGTAATTTGGGTCACTTACGGGTACGGTCCTTGTTCCATGCGTGGCAGGTGATTGAGGCCAGCGAGGTGCCAAAGGTATAGGTCTCGGCCATCGTGGGTGGTTAAATGCGCTCGGAATGTAGAGTGTTCGTCCAACCACACACGTAGTTCTTCGGTTTGGTTCGCCGGATTTCGGATTTCGCTGGAACCAAGTGGGCGTTGTTTCCGCTGGCTGCTCTTCGCTCTCGGTTTAATCGCGGACTCTGGGCCGTCTACACGATTAAGCTGGCGTTGCTGGGATGGATTATGGGTTTCCCTGGGCAGGAAGAGCAGAACGTTGTGAAAAAACTCTTTGGAAAAGTAATGCACAAAATTAATCACCCAAAATTAGAGCTGGAACTAAAATTGATATTTTTGGTAGCATTCGACATTTTCAGATCGATGTTTTTCGATAATTTTAGTTACATTTAATACATATGGACATCACTATAAATATACCAAAATGCCAGGGCTGACTAACAAGACTGATATATACAGTTTGGCGCGCTTTTCTTGGTCATTACTTACTTTAGACCTTTCGCTTGTAAACAAACAAATTTTATTTTAACAATTTTTTAAACAAATTTTGTATTAATGTGATAATGAGCTGTAGAAATTGACTAGTGGAATAATAAAACTGTTTAATTGAACGGCAACCAACAAATGCAAAAGAAAAACCTATTGGCAATGGAGTCCATTTGCTCCTTCTTGGAGCCGCTGTTTCCTTGTCGAGAGGCAGCTATTGCCACACTTGGAGAGCTGATTGGAGACTCCAGTGAGGCTTATCCGTCGGCCATTCACCTTTTTGGACACAGTGGGACTGGTAAGACTGCTCTAACCAGAGCATTCCTCAAGGAATGTGCAAAGAGGCAGAGAGTAAGGACAGCCCATTTAAATGCCATAGAGTGCTACACCACCAAGATCATGTTGGAGATCCTGCTAGACTCCCTGGCGACGGAACAGGGGGACTCCCTGAAGGTGGATAATATGCTAGATTTCGTGGAGCAACTGCGTCGCTGGCACTTGGTTTCAGGTGACAAGCCTCAAGGCTTTCTTATCGCCGTTGACAATGCCGAACGTTTGCGAGATATGGATGCCAACGTGTTGCCTGTTCTCCTCAAGCTGCAGCAGCTCACTTGCCTCAATGTGTGCGTCATCCTCCTGTCTCAACTTCCCTTCGAAAAAGTTTTACAACAAAACCGGCCTGAGCGAAGTCATCAGTGTGCACTTGGCTCAGTACAATAAGACAGAAACGCAACGCATCCTGGGATCTGACTTTGTCCAGGTGCGCAATCAAATTCTAGAGCAGTTCGCGCAGGATAATAAGCGCCTTGGGATTTGTAAGGAATCCGTGACAGAAGAGTTCTACAACAACTACCTCAATCTCTTTCTAAGCGTGTTCTACAAGGCTTGTCGGGATGTTCCAGAGCTCCAGTTGACGGCTAGGAAATGCCTCTCCATTTACCTAGAACCCGTACTTGATGGCACTGTAGAGTCCACTGACATCTCTCGTCTGTGGCGTCATATAGCAGGCCCTTTGCGTTCCGCTCTTACCCAGATCTATATGCGAATAGAGAAACCCCCAGAGGAGACTGAAGATTTCGTCGCCATAGAGGATCAGAGTGTTCGCAAGTTGGCGCAATCGCTGGAGCTTCCCTATTATGCCAAAATATCTGCTGATTGCCGCCTTTTTAGCTAGCCACAATGCTGCCAATCAGGACAAGCGTTTATTCGTCAAGCACCATGGCAAGCAGCGCAAGCGCATGCAAACAGTCAACGCCAGAGCCAAGGTGGGAAATTCAATCTAGCTAAGATTTAATTTTAAACTTTACCAACTCATTTTCAGACCACTGAGAAAATGTCCACTACATTGGGACCCAAATCCTTTACCATCGACCGTTTGTTAGCTATTTTCTACGCCATTCTCGAGGAGAAAGTGGGCCTGACCTGCAACCTTCTATCACAGATCTCAACGTTAGTGCACCTCAAGCTGCTTAGTTTTGTCTCCGGCGAACAGAATATCATGGACGGCTCGGCTCGGCTGCAGTGCACCATTGGCCTGGAATTTGTTCTGCAGATTGGAAAGGTGGTTGGCTTCAATGTCCGCCAATATCTCTGCGACTTTATGTAGCCTGTTTGTTTTTAGTTTTTAAATATATTTAATAAATAGTCCGGTACATCGCTTATGTGTATGGCTTCCGCCAGTCTGGTGTCCCGGCTGCGCAACTGCATCAGTCCGTTCTTTAGAGTTTGCTCGTTTAAAACTAGTGTATAAGGCACACCCAGCATATCCGATTCCAGCAAGTGTTCTGTTAGCTTTGAAGCATCCTTTGTCAAAGCAAATCCACTACCCTGACACAGTCTCAGACCCGCGTGGTTGATAACATGCTTCAGATGCAGGCACAGATCTGCGAGGTCTTCCGACAACTCAGACTCGCTTTCTACACAGGCAATTCCACATTGATATGGTGACAGAACGCGGTTAAGTAACAGGGATTGCGCATCCCGGCTGTGATCACAGCCATCCAGGAGCAATGCTAAAAGAAAAATGGCTTAGCATGGCTTTTATAGTTTAATTAATCTTACTCTTACCACATGTAGACGTTTCTAGCTCAATCACAGATCTTATGACAGTCGGTTGCACAGATTCTCCTGTGCGAGCATCGGGCAGCAGGAAGTTTTTATCGTCGTCAAACTTTACCAGGCTTAGTTGCTCCACGGTCACTTCTTCCGCATCGCCGTAGCTTGAACGGATGTCGATGGCTTGATAGTTTTTGGGATTAAGATCATCTCCCAGTTCGCAGGGAACAATTCGGTAGCGAATGGGGTTCGAGGAAACTCGCATCCACCAGATCTTGCTTTCGCGCTGTATGTTATAGAAATGCTCAAGGGCACGATGTGGTTCGACTAGAAAGTCTGTGGTCAGAAGAGTGGCAGGTGACCTCACAGTGAAGAGGGGATTACTATCGGAGGACGAACAAGTGTTTTGGTGCTTGAGAAGAGTAGGACATTTGGCCTTTCTGGGATGAACTTCGAGAAGCTCCTGGAAATTTGCTCGAAATTGCTGGCTTTTTGGGAAGGAAAAACGCTGTGCGTTGGTTGTGGAACTTGAATTGCTAATGGCTCCAACGTGAGCAGCTAGGGGACGAAGACGTAGCCAGTGATGTTGCAGCAGCTTAGCATACTCCCTTCCATGGCTAATCAGTTCCAACGTTTTGCCGTCCTGTATGCGAAAGAAGCCAGCGGAAGCCAGAGACTTGAAGCATCTTTGTATGCGGCTCATTGCTCCAGAGGAATGTTGCCAGGCGGCGAGACAAAGTAGTCCTCGTCGGTCACTTTTGCGTTCCGGAGCACCTCCGTCCGGCAGTCGCCCTCGGTCACCTGGTCGTTGCGTAACTGGAGCTGCTGATCCTCCAGCACAGTGTACAGTGGGCGCACGTGCTCCGTGTCGATGTGGGCTATCTTGTCCGCGAACTGGATGCTACTCTTGAGCGTGTCAAGTGCCCGCTCGCTATCTAGATCTACCAGAGACAATCGCTCCAGTAACTGGATGGTTTTCGTATCGATCTCAATTTCGGAACAGCTGGTGTCGGGAAACTTAGTTTCCACCGGCGTCTGCGGCACCTTGCTGGGATGCGTCAGCTGTTTAAAGTCCAATTTAATGGCCTTTTCATTCGCATTAGTTGCAATTTTGCAATAAAAACGTTTGCCCAACACGCGCAACATTCTATTAAGCAACTAACTAGAGATGAAACTAAAGTAGCTAGAAAATCAACTTTTTATTAATTTCAATAACATCGACAGACTTATCGCCGGCTGTTATCGCTACGATTCCATCACAGATTTGCGTTTTCCGCTTTTTCTGTAGTTTATTTTATTTCTACCAAAACAAATTCGCAATGCCGTACGCCAACCAGCCGTCGGTGCAAATTACCGAGCTCACCGACGACAACGTCAAATTTGTCCTGGAGGACACCGAATTGAGCGTAGCTAACAGCTTGAGGCGCGTGTTCATCGCGGAGACGCCAACTCTGGCCATCGACTGGGTGCAACTGGAAGCCAACTCCACGGTGCTTTCGGACGAGTTCCTGGCTCACCGTATCGGCCTAATCCCACTGATCTCCGACGACGTGGTCGAGCGGTTGCAGTACACCCGTGATTGTATCTGCCTGGACTTTTGTCCCGAGTGCAGCGTGGAGTTTACCCTGGACGTAAAGTGCAGCGAGGAGCAGACACGCCACGTGACAACCGCTGATCTTAAGTCGAGTAATGCTAAGGTGCTGCCGGTGACTTCACGCAATCAGGGCGAGGAAGACAATGAGTACGGCGAGAGCAATGACGAGATCCTAATCATAAAGCTGCGAAAGGGACAGGAATTGAAATTGCGCGCTTACGCCAAAAAGGGATTCGGCAAGGAGCATGCCAAGTGGAATCCTACAGCCGGCGTGTGCTTCGAGTACGACCCGGACAACTCCATGCGACACACTTTGTATCCCAAGCCAGACGAGTGGCCAAAGAGCGAGCATACCGAATTGGAAGACGACCAGTATGAGGCGCCCTACAACTGGGAAGCCAAGCCAAACAAGTTCTTCTTTAACGTGGAGTCATCCGGTGCGCTTAAGCCCGAGAATATTGTGGTCATGGGCGTGCAGGTGCTAAAGAATAAGTTGTCTAACCTCCAAACGCAGCTTAGCCACGAATCGCAGAACGATGCCCTGGCCGTTTGATATATAACAAGTTTATTTTTAGTATATAAAAGATTTTCCGCCTAATCCTTGAACAAACTGTCTATGTTTATACCCACGCCATCGTCTTTTTTCGCCTTGGAAGGAGCTGGAGAAGATGACGACTTGGATTGCTTGGATTCAACCGCTTCCTTGAAGTCGCTTAACAATTGCGACTTTGTTTCTGTTTCTAGTTCTGGCATGACCTCCTCCGTTGTTGCCTCCAAGCGCGATTGTTGTCGTTGCTCGGCGAGAAGGTCCAAAGCGGTTTCGTAGATCTTCTGCTCATCTAAGGCTCCCTGCGCTTTCAAGTCCTGGTAGATCTGGACGAACTGTTGCGACTGCGTGCTTCGCTTGTGGTCAAAAAGGGATATTGTTTCCTGAGGCTTATTCTGCTTATGGAGTTTCCTGGACGGATACAAATTTAAGTATTGTTGGATACTTTCTGAGAATAATCATTAACATACGCTCGCACTACATCCTCGGCATAGAATATGTTGCGTATTGGGATATCCGGAGCTGGTCTGTCGAATCGGGGCTCCAGTTTCGGCGGAAAGGCGGCGTAAATATCGTACCAAATAGGTTTATCCTCTGTTTTCATGGCCCCACCACGGAGCAGGCCCTGAACTCTGAAAGAAATCATGTATTAAGGGGTAGTCTATATGATTTATGGACGGGCAGATACCTGGTGAAGATGGTGCCGATCTTTTCCAGCCTACTTTGAGCCATTTTAATTGATTTAATGGAAACTTTAACCGAACTTTAACAAAAAGAGATTACGACATGCGTTGCACAAAATTATCGACAGCCGGTGAGGAATCGATAAGTTTAGAGTTGCCGTTGGACTAACGGTTGGGAAATTAAAAAAAAATGGTATAAGAAAGTTGTTGCATGTTTCGGTTTACAAGTATCTAATAGGGTCACTTTGGTTAATATAGTGTTAAATTGATATAATACATATTTAGGATACTTTAAAAAATCACAGAGCTGCCACACTGAAGGAAAAGGTTTATTGTTTACTTCTTACAGGTCTTTTGTTGTTCACTGAATTCGAATTGGAAACGAGTGGCAGCCTGCTGTGCGTAGACTTTTTTCCGTTAGTCTAGTAAGGTCATACTAGACGCAGATTCCAGCAGAGGAGAAAAAAAAGTGCCCGACTTAAATTCTTCTGTTGGTTTCGTAGTAAATTTTCGCTTTTCGGTGTCAAATCAAAGCGCTTAAATCGGAAAAAGTCAAGAAAAAACGAAACAATTAAATTAAAAATCAAATTGGTTCTAATAGATGAAAAACGCTTTTTACTAGTGGACTATAATATAATAAACATAAGTGTTTTGATTGTTTGTGCAGGTGCAAAATCGATCTAGTGAACTGAAAACTGCGACTCTGAAATCGGCCGAGTTAGCGCATTATTGCCCCGATTGTTGTTATTGGAAAATGTTGTTCGTTTGGGAAAATTGTGCCATCGCTTTTTCGTAGTTTGCGTACGTGTGTGTGCGTGTCGAGTGTGTGCCAGTAAATTAAGTTAATTAAAAACTTAGCTAACTCTCATTTTTACCGCCCCCGCCATGAGTAACTATCATCCGCACGCGCTATCACATCCGCATCCGCAGCAGGTCCAGAATCAGCTGCAGAATCCCCTACACAACCAGTTGCCGCCCCCGCAGCGCCATAACCATGCCACGCCCACAGCTGTTTCATCCGCCTCCGGAGGAGCATCATCATCATCCATTTTGGTGGCCCATCCTCCCCAGCCGCTCATCAGCAATTCACTGGCCATTCGCCAGGAGATCCAGCGTTTCGAAAGCGTCCACCCATCCATCTATGCCATATACGAGCTGATCGATCTTCTGCCGCTGGCCGATGCTCAGATAGCCCAGTCTATCCGCGACCATGTGGTCTGCATTGAAGGTGAGTCCCTCTATAAGTCGAACTAGTTTAATGGGTTGTACCGATTTTGTGTAACTTTTGGGCAACATTTTTCCTCATGCTTACTGAAATAAAGTTATATGCAATTAGAAAATCAATTTGTTTACCGATTTAGATAACCCGGTTTTATTTTCTATTAAGCATTTCAGTAATGACAAGTTTGTGGGGATTTAGATTCGTTAAAGCAATGGTGGAGATTATTTTTATAAATTTAATTTAAAGTGCACCTGCTAGTATACGAGTATACTATGTTTAGTAATCAAACTTTGGTCCCTCAAACTATTATTTGGTTAAACGTAAAGCTGTTTCCAAATGATTTACATTTTTAAAGGTTTCTAACAAAGGTACGCATTTTTGACATTTTTGGTATTATTATTTCTGCCTCGTAGCACACTCATGCTATGAATAGGTAATTTAAATACCACTAAATTAAAAAATAATAATAATTATTATATATTTTAATTTCCTCTTTATGAGCATGCTAGTTTATTTGCAATAACAAACAAAAGCTTGTCTAGTGAGTTACTTACATTTCTGATAGGGTCATTGGGCTTAATGGAGTTTTAAAGGTGTGCCCCAGAAATCATTACTGACTAAAATTTGCTATAAATTATGCATACACACAGAGAAATTGGGTTTTAAGTCAGGGAATCAACGTATCTATCATAACTTTGGGTAGACTGACTTGACTGAACTCTTTGAATGTCATGTCGGCGAGAACGGAGGGAAATCCTTTGATTAAACATGTTTATCGCTGCAATTGTATCCACACCTTCATTGTTGTTTGTTATCGCGTCCGTCTGGACTTGTGGTTGCCATTGTTTGGAGTGTTTTATGCTAATCTCTGACCGAAAATCTATGAGGCAACATCATATCAACCCCCGTGCAGGGATTATTGTTGCCAAAATGCCCATTCAAGCGGACCGGGGCCATTGAAAGTGTTGTCGTTCGACCCGTTGTTGGTCGTTGTGTTCCTCAAAAGAAAGAGCTTCGCTTTTTGTTTAAAACAAGCTTTTCTGCCCAATTTTCAGCATTTCGGAGTGTGTGTGTGTATGCGAGGCCTGAAATTTGATGCCCTCTTCCTCTTTTGTGGCAGCCACCAAAACTAAAAACTGAAAACCGTTCACGAAATCAAACCGAAAACCGGTTCTGAAATGGTTTATTAGAAAATCTCTTGTCGAGCAGAAGAAGAAGCATAAGAAGAAGAGGCAAAGAGGCAGCAACAACAAAAGGCTCACCAAAAAATGTAAACAAAATTGTCAGAGGCAGAGGCAGAGACAGAGGCAGAGGCCTTCTGCCTCATGAATACACTCCACACTTCGTATCGTGCAAACCAGATATGAAACCGGAGAATACGATCTCGTAAACCGTTTTGCACGCGACTTTCTTATTGGCATTGACCCGCAACACGGGCACGATTGGTCCAATATATCTGTGTTTAATGTAGCTAACTATACCGAATACCGATTCTAATTTGCTGTCAGCGTGATGAATGATGTTTTCGTTGGACTCCAATTGCCGTTTTCCCGTTCTAGGTGCTTATTTATAGGTTTCGGTAACGGTGTCCATTAGATCGAGAAGGTCAAAAGTATCTAACTTGGCGATAAACAAAAATAAATAAAAGAAATTTGGGCCTTCTGCTCTTTTTGATGTCGCTTATGGTATAAATACAAGGATTTTTAGAAAATTGGGTCTAAAAGAATCGAAATAAGCCCGAAACTGGTTATCGTTTTTGTCCAAGAACTTGAACTAAAGGTTCGGATAAAAATTTTTTGTGACTCATTTTTATCACATTCGAGTTTAAAGAACATTTAAATGCTGTTTATGTTAACGACTTTTTGCAAATTCAAGTATACATATAAATGAATTACAGCTTTTAGTGTCTTATTTTATAAGAATTTCGGAGAATGATTCAGTTCTTGATTATTATATGGATAACAGGCTATAATAATAAGATATAAATATGCATTTCGCAGAATCTATGTTGTTTGTAAATAAGAGGGTTAAGGTCTTGGTATTTTTAGACAAATTTCAGCAACAATAGCTGCTTAAATATTTGTGTAAGTCTATTGGCTATTGTGTACGGCTACATGTGCCATCTAAAATTAGCATATGAAGCTATAAATTGGGAACTATAAACAATAGACAGACGGTGCATTAAGATTCTTCCACACCATTCATTCGTCTTCGGCAGAACGTAAATAGTAAATCGATTACACGATATCAGCATATCAATGGCAATATAACTACAAATTGATAATTGTATTTGGGGAGGCGGGTGTTCAATAACCGATGAACATAAATAACCTACCTGGAATGCTCGGTTCGTTTGTCCGCGGTGTTTATACAAACACAAAGGCGTTGTCTGTTTGTTTGTTTGTTTGTTTGTAAATAGCCAAGTAATAGTCGGCCCTACATACAAAATGAACAACAACAACTATAACAGCAGTTAAAGTCAACTGAAATGCCGCTGGCAGCAGTGAAAAGCAAATTTCCTCTCTTATCTCAAATGGCTTGCGACTTCCCATTAAAACGATTGCAATTAGCCACAAACGAATTTGTTGGTCTACCCTTTCGGAAAGTGGGTCCATTAATTCGTTCCCAAGATGACTCATCTAAAAATTAATTAGTTATATACAAATAAGTTTGTTAATACATAAATATTTTGCAAAAGGCTATGGCTGACAGCATTTATGTACCGTTTACGACCTAGTTTTCATTGGCTTATATTGTTTTCTCTCTGATTCTTATCTATTTTTATCTAATTGCTGTTTAATTACTTTGTAAATTATAGTACCTTTTGCTGTAGAGTATTGTTTGATTTGATTTTATATGCCATTTGTTATCTTTGAAAAGCAAGTAATTGGGTTGCCTTTGTCAGTAAACTAATTCATTCATATTCGTAAAGGTATTACGATTGTTTGCTTTAACTGTAATATCTTTTTTTTTTTTTAATAATTACCATCGAAACAGGTTTTTTGAAACTTTGGTACCTGCCCTCTCAATTCAAATTGAACAATCTCATCTCAACTCGTGACCTCTTATCTGTCGGCGGCTTAGGATGCTGTCTTTATTGCCGTTTCGCTTTGGGGCAACTTTTGTTTATTTTCTTTTAATTGTAAAATAATATTGACAGGCTGACTTTTAAGAGAATTGTTTGCCACTGTCATTGGCATATCATTTTTTTTGTTTTTCCCGAACTGCTGTTTGATATGGCTTTTTGTCTGTGTCATTCGGAAGTGGAAATTGTTTGCGTCGATACGCTCGAAAGCGTGACATGGAGATGCCATTGGGGGCACAAATACATGTATTAACCCACACAAATATGCTGTCCATACACAAGAAGAATATATAAGTTATAAGCTGATAATCCTTAATAAGTTGATAATGATTTAAAAACTAATTAAAATGCATTATCATTATATTTAATTGAGATACTAGACATAATAATGACTAATGATAACATCAATATCAATCTTGATTTATATATATTTTATTTTCAGTGCATAAAAAAGCGAATTTTCAAATATCAACGACACATGTGCAACCGGCAGAGAGGAAGGCATGCGTGTCCGTCGTCTGCCCCCTGCACATTGTCACCCCTGCTCACTCCCCTTTGCCCATCAAGTACCCGTTTATTTTTAAAGCAAATTGCATTAAAAATATCTTGCACTTTGCTTGCATTTGCTATTTCAATTGCAATTGCACAACACCTTGTTGTTGCTGTTATTTCGCTAAATTATTTTCGTTCTCAATTGACAGCGAAAAAAAAGCAATAAATAAATTTAACAAAAGAAATGCCAAATCGGAAGAGTTTTTGCGTTTTTGCAATTAAGTCATAATATCTCCCAATTTGGTTGTCGCTTCGAATGATTCACGAATTCGTGATGGGTGTATAGGAATTTATCATTTCACTTGATGGCAGGCGTCTCCTCTGTAATACGAGGTGTGTTCAAAAAGTAAGGTGACTCTTCAAATTTCGCGAATTTCAAATTTTTCGATTATCGAAACCTTTTAGAAGTTATACGAGGTGTGTTCAAAAAGTAAGGTGACTTTTCAAATTTCAAATTTTCAAATTTTCGATTATCTTCAGTTTTGGGAACAAGAAAAAGTCACATGGGGCCAAATCCGGTGAATATGGTGGCTGAGGCATTATTGTGGTGTTGTTTTTGGCCAAAAATCCAAATCCTTTGATCCATATTTTTCGATAGCAAAAATCGCCGAGCTCGCAAAACAACTTGTAACTTTACGCCTCTCACAACCAAACAAAAGAGGATGTTCCATTGAAACTTGGTACAGATGTTAGGGAAGAGTGTACCAATATAACAAAACAAAAAAATCGATAATCGAAAAATTTGAAATTCGCGAAATTTGAAGAGTCACCTTACTTTTTGAACACACCTCGTACAGTGGGCTCTAAAAGCAATGCAATTTAACTTTAAATATTTTAATTTAACTATGATTAAAAAGCATGAAAAATAAAAGGGGCCTACAGTTTTGATTGACAATCTAAATTTACCCATAATAATTATGATAATTGTCTTTGAAAAGCCGTTAATATTTCCGCTATTTCCAGCACAATCTTATTCTTTTTCAAAAGATGTCAAAAATGTATGTCAGCAGAGTATTTAAATTTTACAATTTTAGTATGTCGATTCACTATGGTTGTGGGTTTGTCAATAAATTGTTGACTACGTTGCTGGCATAATCATTATGCGAAATAAGATATACCGTTTGATTAATTTATTGATAGTTTATTGAGATTTATGATTGGTTGACTATCGATATGCCATTATCAATGACTTTGCCACTGATTTTGGCGATTTTCCAAAAATAATCAGCCACATTCGTTATGAACCTAGTAGATATGTCATTCAGTTTTTGTCCAGTAAGGATGCGTTTATACTCCCCGTCGCTGAGTCCTGTCTCAGCTTCGCGGTTCAATAGTAATGGAGACTCCTTGAACTGTAAAGGAATTTGTAGGAAATATTTTTCTTTTTTATTAACATAAAATGAGGGGCACACTTTACCTCTTCAAAAATGTTAAACCACAATTGATCCTTTTTTGCCATCTCCTTTTCTGCAATGGCTTGGTTCAGACGTGTAATATATATATTAATGTCCTGGAAGCGCTTCGTTTGCGGATTGAGGTGGGTCTTGACTTCGGTGAAATAATCGATTTGAGATCGGAACAGGGCATTAAGAAGATTGGCTGTCTCCTCCTTGGCCTGTCTCACCAACTCCTGTTGCACAGGATCATCAGATTTCAACAGTTCTGGATCCAGAGGTTTGGCAGCTGCTATTGAAAGCTATAAAATACAAAATATTCAATTAAAATGAATTGATAAAACGAGAAGGCTTTTCTTACCTGTACCAACAAAAACAAGGGAATATATTTTAGCAGCATTTTTTTAGAAGTACGTCTTTTAAGCCTCCGTTCTGAATGAATGGTATTTTTAAACTGATTGATGGAAATAAGAGGCATGCCTTTGATTAGCAGTGGGATGTGTTTGAGAATCTCTCGGGAAGCTGATAAGCTTCCGATGGTTTCTCTTTTGTCTAGGAATTTCGTAGAGCTCTATGATTGCGGGGATGATAATATTTTTTTCCCAAGCAAATTTGAAAATTGTTTATATTAATTGCGTTTTAGCTAATATGAAGGCGCGTTTTCGGAAACAGGGAGAGCATAATTCCAATTGATCTATCTTATTTTTGTCTAGGTCTGTCTAGCTGCCTGGGTGGTAAGGCACTCGCATGATCATGATTCCTGTTATCAGTAGTCTAGCAAACATTGCTATAATAACCTTCCCAAGGGTATGGTTATAAATAAGTTGGCTGAAAATTAATAAAATCTTGATATTTAAGTAGAACTATTAGGTTACGAACTATTTGACTTGCTGGTGTTCATTTTTATAGTAAAGCAAAATTCAACAAGAACCAAAAATATCGATTTTAAGAGCGTTTTGAATATTTATCTGTTTTTAAAAGTCTACATATTATTTTACATTCAAAAGCATTTTTTTCATAATTTAATTGAAGCACCAGAAAGTATGCAGTATAACTGAAGAGTTACATCGCATGAAAACTTAATCTTTAAATTAGGCAAGGCAATTTTTGGACTGCCGAAAAGTATACATCACTAAGCAGAAAAATGTAGAAGGAGAATTGAAAAAATGAAAAAAACTTTACTCAACTATTACTACACTTAAGAGATGAAAAAAACAATAGAAAAATGTTTTGAATTTCTCCAAAAGTGAAGCTATTAGCGTTATTATGAAATCTATTGCGAAAAACACCTCTTAGCTAAAACCGGCAGAGGTATATAATTGAAAGTTCATAAAACTTGAACAACGAGTTGTGCTAATCAATTTGGCCAAAGGAAATGCTATTATAAGCTTAATCTGTGTGATTAGATTAACCAAATTGCTATGTTATTTTTGCGTGTTTTATAACAGCTGATGGTTAAAAAAATAATTCGATCGCACATGGTTTATGGCTCGCACGTTTTCAACCACCCGAAAATGAATGCAGAATTCGAGTTGGAAAATACGGTAGATTTTATTAGTTTCCTCCCGTGATAATGGCAATGATGTCACTCAGAGTACGATCTCCGATCAGATCGTTGCAAATGGGAGTTGCCTGTTCACTGACCCAGGAGGCAACAAAGTCGGTGTTGTCGTTGATCGTGAGAGTGACAAATTCCTCAATGACCTCGTTCAGTTTGCGGTTGAAAATGCGGTACTTGGACAGGTTCTCGATCTGTGAGTTGACATTGCCAACCGAGGGGTAAATCAGGATATCCTTTACACGCAGTTGGGAAGTGAACACGCCCAGTGAGTAGCTGATCCTGCCTTGGATGTTGAGATCCTCCAAAGCAAAGAAGGCGCCACCGTCGCGCTTAATGCGATAGCCACTGCCCATATCCACCTCGTAGTTGGTGGTGAAGTTGACGCTTTTAAAGTTAATCTCGAACGTAACGCGACTTCTGATCAAATCCATTTTCATCGCAACAACTTCGTATTGATCGAGACCCTCTAGCGTAAAGTCCTCCACTCCGATAGATCCACTGAACTCTCCCGAGCTAAAATCGAACGACCTTTGGGAAACCGTCATTGGTGCCATTACGGGAATTCCATGATTCGGGCTTCCATTTTGTAGGACTACTCTAAAGGCCTCCAAGCCATCAACAATTACGCTGGAAAATGAGCGGTCCTGAGCTAAATACAAAGTAGAGGATTATTATATTTTCAAAGTTTTCATTTGGGACAAAGCTCACCTGACAAAGGTTCCGCAATTTCTGCACCTTGGCAGCTGCCCAGGGCCAAGATAAGTCCAATCAGGAGTATAGATTTCATTTTTATTTTAGCACAACACTCTAGTTAACTCTTTCAGCAAACAAAATCCACTAGTCGAAGGCTTAGAAAGTTACTGCTCTTATATAGGAACACGTCCGTTGAGATAAACTATCTGCTATCTACACGTAGAAACATTTTTTGTGGTTTTGTTTAACTGTTTTAAATAAGGGTGCTTATGTCAAGTAATTAACAAAAAATACAACCTTTGTTATATTTATTAAATAAATATTTGTATCATGGATATGAAATATAACTAGATTTACAAATAATCCAAAAGAATTAGAAAAAATAACACAAAATAATAGCTTCAGAGATATACCTGAAATATTTAAAATATTACCAACTTCTTCTGTTTAAAATAAATTAAACCATTTCTTTAAACACATAAAGAAATTTTTTTAAGAAGTTAAGATTTTTTTGAAATTTTTTGCTACATTTTTTAAAATATTTTTAAAAATGTACTAAGCTTGGTCCCACATTTCCTTTCTGTGTTTAGTACTGAAGTAGCTTTATTAATCGGCAAATAATTTGGCAAAGTGTTTTATGACAGATAAGACACTACTTGAGATTAGGCCGCCTTTGAAAAACGACGATAATTGATAGGTGTTGTAAATGTTTTACCTTTTTAAAGCTTCACCTAATTATGCAGTTAGATGAACTATTGTTGAGGAAGCAGATATCCCACTGGAAAACCCCCGCAAACAAAAGAGCCAGATGACGAATACTGATTCAAAACGGTTGTTTTAATGACCGATGATTTGTTTACCACTCGAACTCTGGAGGAATGCAGACCTCCTTCTCACCGCCCTCACCACCGGAACCGGAGATGACATCGGCAAGGGTGATATCGTCCAGAACGCTGTTAACAGCGGGCAGAGCAATAGACTCGATGGTATCGGCAATCAGATCTTCGTTCTCATTGATAGCCAGCTCCACAGCCTCGGCCAGGTATTCGTTCATCTTCTCGTTAATGGTGCCATCACCCAGGATTCCCTCAATCTCGGAGTCTACCTCACCCAAGTGAGTGCGCACCTCCAGGGACTTCAGCTTCAGCTTGCCGCTGAGCACACCCAGGGAGTACTTCAGAGTGCCCCAGATAACCATATCCTTGATGGAGAATTTGGCATGACCGGCACCGATCAAGTTGATGGTGAAACCGTACTTCTTCAGCAGCACACTCAAGTCGTACTGAGTGTCAACGTTCACATCGCGGAAGGAGAACTTGTAGGTGACCTTGCTGGTGACGGCGTTGACCTTCATTTCATCGATATCGAAGTCATTCAGACCATTAAGACTGAAATGGTCAATGGTACCCTGAGCCTTCAGCACGCTGGTATCAATGTCGATATTCTGGTGGTCAATTCGAAGGGGAGCCAATGGCGGAATACCAAGTCCGGCAAAGCCACAGGGCATCTGCTCCTTTACTCCCTCGATCACGTCTACAATCGTGCTTGAGATAGATTGAGTTTCTAGTTGTGGAGGTAGATTGTTAAGGGAAACCTATTGTTGGGGGTTTATCTAAGAATACTCACGAATGGGCTCGCCCACGGAAGCCGCACTGGCGACGGCCACAAAGGCCAAAATAGCCACGAAGATTTTCATTATTGCTTTGACTGAGAGTCCTACCAACTGTTCGTAGTACGTACGGTATTTATACTACTCAATCGTCCGGTCGCACGAGCTGCTTTTTATAGACGATCTAACTTTCAGGTGTGGTGGTGATAAGGGGGCTTCGTACCTGAGAACGATTTGATTAGCCACCGGGCTTTCGATCGATGCCTTATTGCTGTCTTATCTTGGCCACCGGTTCCCCGGTTGGCAAATTTTTTTAATTTTAATGATTAGTTATATTATATACATCGGGGTACTTATCCCGTAGCATGATCAGATCTGCCAAGCGGATAAAAAGTTAGATAGTTTTCACTCAAACAAAAACATTCCCATCCTGTTAGGGAAAGTGTGTTCAAAGTCTAATTGGGGTGAGTGTCTTGCCATCATTATGGTTCATGGCTTAGTTTAAAAGTTGTTTTGGCTATAAGCCCTCTTGAAATATAGGGTTCTCTGAGATTAGTTGACTTGGAAACAAATAGTAGGTCTGTTCCAAAGCATTATCAGTGATCTGAAACACACTTTTTGGCTTTTTAATGTGTTTTTTCAAACATTATATATTAGCTATCTTAAAATCGAAAGAATTGTTTTGTAAAACTTTTCCATTCACATTTATTATTAAAAGTAAACAAAACCTTTTAAAGTATCTACTTGTTTAAGAAATGCGCTAAAACCCAAGAAAACCCCACGATGATAATCTTCTCCAGAACTTTGTTTCGGATTAAAATAATCCATGCACTTCTGTGAATCTAAAGTCTGCAAAAAGTTTGTTTTTTGATTTATAATCAAAGCACTTTGAAGTGCATTGAGTGATTTATGGCCGATAACTTGAATGGCGTATTTAAAGGACCTGCAAATGGAACTATTTATAAACAAAAGCATACGGTCAACACCAGATGGCTAGCCAAATACTGACTAAATGATATATGACCAGCAAAGTATCCGTCAGTCCTAGCCCAACACAGCCATCAAAAAATAGTTTCACACATTTAGTAGTTCCCATTATAAAATCTTAATCAAAAATCAATAAATCACTTAATAGGAAACCTAAAAGGCCTTCAAGAGTGCCAAAGAAGTCGATGAAGCTTTGAAGACAATAGAGTTTACCCCCAAATGAGTGATACGAATCAGTCAACACCGGTAATCCGTGGACACCTGCAACAAGTCCGACGCGGTACCTTCTTTATTTGCCAATAATCCTGGTGTATTTCTTTCGCAATGATAGGCAATATATATTGTTTTAATGATTTGACGTTCAATTGGCCAATCGGACGTCGAGATTAGGCTAAAACAAGCCACTTAAGCGATACAAGTGTTATTTTTGCTTTGTGGTCTTACAAACCACTTGCCGAGTGATTGGATTCCTTAGCATTAAATCGGGAGCCTATCGAGAATCGTGCGTTACGTTCATCGGAGTTTAGCTAATCAGTAGAAATGATTAACATGTGTATGTCAACCTGGTTAAGTGAGACTGCCTCCCCTTCACCCTACCCTTCAAATCCCCAAGCTTTGCTATAAAAGCCTCTGACCAACTGGAACAATTAACAAGTGGCTATACAATGAAAGCTATCGTTTGTGTTTTTGTGGCCCTTTTGGCCTGCGTAGCAGCCTACGATGTGCAGCTGCTCACCGAGGAGCAGTGGAATCAGCTGGTGGAGCGTAATCGTAAGTGTCCCAACCCAAATCTTAACAAGATAGAGAGCTAATTATGCTGTAATCCCCCGCAAATAGCCGCCAAGCCTGATACTCAGGGTCTGATCTTGAATGGATCGGCCAAGAAGGCCATTAATGGCTTGCTTAAGCAATTGCCTTGCGGATGGCCCGAATATGGAATCCCTCCTCTGGCTCCCTACACCAATGCTGATCTGCGCATCCACTTGGCTGAGTCTGTTGTCGAGTGAGTAACTATTAATTGAGAAAGTACCATCGCAGCCTCTAACTTCCTGCTTTAGTACCCTGCTTCAGTTCTTGCGCTTCCGTTTCGATGGCCTGGAAGAAATGGAGATTAAGCAGCTGAAGGTCAGCTACACCTTCAGCAAGAAGGTCAAGTTCCATTTCAAATTCAAGGAGCTTAAGGCCAGCGCTCACTATTTAGACACCAACACCTTTATGGATCTCCTGAAGCAACTTGGATTGTCAGTCCGTTACGAGAGCTCGGGTCCTTTGTCCTTTAGCCTGGAGAATCTGTCGATTCAGGGCGAGTTCAAGTACAAGATGCCCTTCATCTTCGGTTCCATCAAGATCTATAAGTTCAGCTGTGTCGTTGGCCTGGGCGGTGTGTCCTCCAACATTGGCGGTATTATGGGAAACGGAAGGATCAATGAGTTTATCAACGACATGGTTGACAAGGAGGTGCCGGCCTTTATCAATGGCAACCAGAAGGCGATTAGCGCCAAGATCGAGGAGATCTTCGTGCCTTTGGTCAATTCTCATCTCACGGGTCACAAGATCTGGTATCTGTTTACTCTGCTGTCCGCCAGCTCTGGCACCTGCAACCCCACTCCTGCTCCCTGGTTGGCAGTGGAGTCCAGGAAGGTAGAATAAGGTAGCACCATCAATAAAAAGCAATTCAAGCGAGCCGATCTACGTTTTAATTAGTCCCAATTCCGCCTGCTATCTCCGTCCAGTATCACCTTTTTGCGTTATCGCCTATAACGGATTTTGGTATATAAGACTCTGGCTGGGGGTTAGCCAATTCAGTAGCAAATTTAGTTGCTAAAAGCCACAATCAACCATGCGTTTCCTGGTAGTCTTGGCCTGCCTAGTGGCCGTTTGTGCTGCCGGCACTCTGCCCAACAAGGTGGAACAGCGTCTTTTGGAGTTGGCGGATCAGAATGGTGACATCGATCTGTTTGTGGAGCCTCAAGAGGGAGTTGAAGGTGAGACTAGGTCGAACATTTTGAGATAGTAAATCAGCAGCAGCAGTTATTAGATTAAATTATAAAATATCTGCAGTTAAACTACGTTTATTCCGAAATTATAAATTATAATTGCTCCCAAATTTTGTAATAATACTGCAAGATTTATGTTTTTGTTTAGTTAAAGAGAAATTTAACTTGTATCTTAAAGATAAAACTAGAAGGTTGTTGAGCATTACCAGTGTTGTGGGCTCCTAACTAAAAATTAAAAAACAATTCCTTAGTTGCCCCCCAGTTCATCGTGTCCTGGCAGGCCCGTCGCTTCATCCGCAAGCTCCAGAAGCAGATGGAGTGCGGATGGCCCCAGTATGGTATCCCCGTCCTGGCCCCTCTTCGCATCAACGAATTCGATCTGGACTTCAAGAAGGGCATCTTCGAGACCCTTAACCATGTCTTCCACCTCAAGATCGCCGGTCTGGATGACTTCAAAATCCAGAAGTTCAAGCTGAACGTGATTACCAGCAAGGTGACCTTCGATTTCCTGTTCCAGAACATTGATACCACCGCCCAGAAGTACAGCACTGATACTCTGATCGATGCCCTGCGTCAGTTGGGTCTGTCCGTGGAGTACGAGGGATCCGGAGAGCTGTTGTTCGATCTGATTAACCTGCGCATTGCCGGCACCCTGAAGTACAAACTCCCCATGCTGTGGGGCTCTGCCAAGATCACCTCCCTGAAGACCACCATCTCTCTAGAGTCCGTGACCTCGGACATTAGTGGATTCATGGGCAACGGCCAGATTAACCGTGCCATCAACAGCCAACTGGAGAACATCGTGGTGAAGGCTATTAATGACAACCAGGATTCCATTTCTGAGACCATTGAGAGCACCATCGTGCCAAAAGTGAACAAAATGTTGAAGGGTAAGGACTTCTGGACCATTGTGGACTTGATCCTGTCAAGCAGCGATGGTGAGAGCGAGGACGATCCGATCGTCGTCGACTGCGATCCCTCCGCCGATCCCTGGGCTTAAGTTCAGAGTGGGACGTGAATAAATACTTGTCGATATTTTCAATCATTAGTCTACTTTTGGGGGTTTTCATAATCTGTGTCTATCTTTGGTTTCCTGTTATCAATCAATAAGTGGAGGATTAAATTTAAAAAATCTAGTTATATAATTCCTTTTAATAAGAACGAACTTAAATCATAGTTTTAAAGGCTAAGTTTAAGACTTGCATCCTCAGCATTCGGTTTTCTTTCTTATTACATTTCAAATTCCGAATGAATATGGGAACACAAACGTTTATCTCCTTTGCACCTGCCTAATCCAATCTTATCGTTTTTCGCTACTTAAGTGGCTAATCGTTATTGCTGATTGGGAAAGGGAAAAAACTACATGTTTGTCTTGAATCATTAGCAGTTCCTATTTGGCATTCGCGATGAGAACTTCTTGTGTAATTTTTGTGGCCCTTCTTTGCTGCTCCCTGGGCTCTGGCAAGCTCTTCGATGATGAGCTGCGCGAACTCACGGAGTTTGTGCGTTTGCAGATGCGATGTGGTTATCCAGACAGAGGGGTTCCAATTTTGGCCCCAGCACAGATAGCCTACAAGGAAATCGGCATCAGATCAGCAAGCTTTGGGTAAATAAATCATTTCGTTTTAGAAATTATTTTCTACATTAACAATATTAAACCTCAGATGCAATGGAAACTTCACTGAACTTATTATCGAGGGCCTGGATAGCTATGAGTTCTCCAAATTGGAGTGGAACAATATTCTGCACACCATTAAGTTTGACATGAACTTCCCCAAGATATCCCTGAAGAGCTCAAACTATAAACTAAACATCTTGGCTAGTCTTTTTGGTGGAGATTTCTCTCTGTGGGGTGATGGTGTCTTTAACCTGGAGTTGATCAACTTCCGAGCTAATGGCAGCTTCATCATTCGCCCGAAGTCGGCCACCAGTGGGGTGTACGTTAAAAGCTGGAAAGTAAACTGGGAATTGGAGGAGGCTAAATCCCAGACCACGGGGATTATGAACAGTCGATTGTATTCGAAATTCATAAATGATCTGATCAAGGAGTATCTTGATATTTTGATCAATGATAATCCCACGGAAGTCTCTCAATTCATGGAGGAGCTAATTGTTCCGCCAATGAATGTGGTTTTGGACAATATTGCCTGGTATGAGATTACCGCTATCATTTTGGGCCTGGTCGAAGGCATTCTGCCGGTGGAGCCAATTTGCTGAAGTGCTGCCGTCGAGGAAGTCGACTGCCAGGTGTTTCGAGTGCTAAAATGTGAATAAATGTCTTAGGAAACGATTGATAACAAAATTAATGGGAATTACGTGTACTTTATTTGGTTTGATTTCGAGGTGTACTTGACAATGTTCTACATAGATTTAAGGAATTAAAGTCTTGTCATTATTATTCTTGTTTTTGTTTAAATATTTACTATATACGAATGATTCTTAAGCTGTGTTTATTTACATTATTTGAAGCAAGATACACTTTTTAGAAACCCACTTTCTAATTATAATTGAAGTACTAATAAATCATTATTTCTTTAACTCTCTTTACAGGTAAGCCAGATTAGATTTCCCGTTTATTGGCAGTGAGTAAATATTCTCGGAGTTCATCATCAATTTCTATTTTTGGGGACCTCCATTTAGTGTTCTAATCGTTTCTACCATAAATTATTGTTGATCTTTGTGCGTTGAGGGGAGGCGAAAGCAAAGTCCATAATCGGATTGGGAAATGAGAAAAAACACTGCCGAGCAGCGCCAGCAGGACATCTCAATCGCCGGGTTCAAACCGAAGCACGAGTCCTGTCACAGCAGGACTTCGACGGGTGGTCCTCCGAGTTTCGGTCCAACACTTTCTAGCCTCAGATTTGCCAGTGGCTTTGCCAGCAGCTGGTTATTTTTTTGCCATTGTATTAATGTCTCTTTTTATATGCTTTGCCAGATTTCGTTGAGGTTTTTTTTTTTTTATATTGCGGTCTAATGTCATCATTTGTTGTTAATTAGTTCAGAGGATTGTAGAGCATCTCCTTGATCTTTGGTATCTCTTCAAAACTCTGTCTTTAAAAACTCTCCCGCTTTCTTTCACCGCAATGAAATTCGTTTTGGCTCATTTCATTTGCAATTTACGAGCCATCTTTCTCTTTTCTTTACGTATTCCAGGGCACACCTTGCGTCTCCTCAAGAGATTGTCATAATGCAAAAAATAAACAAAAAGCCGTTTTGGGTCTTCTCATGAGTACGTGCTCAGTGCCCATCTGTGAGATGTCCTGCTGGTTGTGGCATTGTCTCGTAGGAAGTTTTACGACCTACCGGACAGTCTGTTGCATTGTGCATTGTCCTTGCCGACTAACAGACTTTTTGGCCACAATCCCAGCCTGCGGAAGCCAAGAAGCCTGCCATTCGAAATCGAAAACTACGAGTATACGGCAATGGTAACCCAACCCCATCCATTTGTTGACATTTACGAGGCAATTTTCCAAAAGCCATTAAATTCCTTTAGCTGCATCTACCGCCAACCCACTGCTCTAAGCCATTGCTTTGGCCTAGTTTGATTAACCTCGATTTGTGTAAGACCACAAGAAAAAAAAATCTACTGAACTCATCTCATTTTCAATGGGAGACACTTAAGTGTTGGTTTTTGCATATGCCTCAGGCTCCCTGGGTGGCTGCTCGAGGGCCTCAGCTGGAGGTAGTTACGTTTTCCAAAGGGATCTTAAGTATCCTTTATGGGTATCCCACGATGGAAAGATTTTATGAGTTACTTTGGTATAGGGGAGGTCGTAGGCTTTGTTTTGAGTTCTTAAAGTTTTCTCTTTAGGAGTTTTAGGTAAATAAAATATTAACTATTTAAAATATCACTCACACTATAACATAAAAACATATTTCTTCATAAACAACTTGTCATTTGAAGTTCTTAATTAGTTTATTCTTCTTTACCTAATTAGTTAACATCCCTTTCATAACTTCATCTTACCTCTTAAAACAACCTCTCGAAACGAGGTTTAACCACTTAACTGCCCCTCTTTGAAGTTGCCCAAATCCTTGGAGCCCACCATAGACCAACTTTAATTGCCTACTCTGGTTTTTGGCCCTCCTGAGCGGCTTTCAGGCCTCACCTGCTGCCAGCAACAGTCCTGCCACAAGGCTAATTGAAAGAGCGAATGCAAAGCTTTGCCTTTCATTTTCCACACTGGTGAAAGACGTAAATATTTGCATTCTGGGCAACCCCTTTTGCGCCAAGGATTGACTGCCAGAAATTGGGTTTAATTTAAAATTTATGATGCACTGAATTGTTGAACACTCGAATTAGGCTTCATTAGAGAGACATAGAGCCACTTCTGAAGGGGGAAATAAATCATAGAGTGTCCAAACTGTACAACGAGATAAGATACAAAATGGGTTACGACAAAGGACGGGCCTCCATATGGAATGGCCTTTTGTTTACTTAAAGACGAGAAGCTGACGTCGTTGTTTTCCCTCTTGTTGCGCATTAAATGGGTTTTAATTTGAAACGTAGTAAGTTTGCGACTCCTGCGCCCTGTGCCCCTTTCGCGGCAATTGTCCTGGCCAAGTCAACGGTGAAAACGAGATGAGGAAAATTCAAAATAACCCAGCTCACGGATTCGCTGTAATTGAGCAGCGCAATTTCCTGAAAATCGCACGCGAAGAAAAGGTGCGCTGTCCTGTAAATGAACAGCCGCCGCCGAATAAAAAAGAAAGAAATATAGAAGCAAAAAGGATGCGGCAGAAGGTTGCAAGGATGCGGCTCAGTTTCGTGCGCTTTAGTTTTTATTTTTTCAATTAAGGTTGACATGCCCCTGTGTACTCATCTCGAATTTGTTTCATGGGCCAAGTCAAGCTGAAAATTGCGCATTTGCTTCGAGGCTGCAGATGGGTTGCCATGGAACTTCGTCCTCGAGGCATGTCCAAAGTTTTGCCTAACAGGATTACATTCTACAGACTTGCAGTCTCTTTGACGTAGCTTGCCTGCTTCGTCTGCAAGTTGGGCTTATCTCCTTATTTAAGTCCCAGCTCTCTTACTCTCCTGAGGTGGGAATGATGGGAATCAATCAATTTGTTGCTCTGCTGGCTGCTCTAATTGAGAAATTCCTTGAAAATGGAATTGGTTGGGGCTTAATGAATTAATGCCCCAAGGAATTGAAGTTGCTAAGCCCAAACATTTAGTGCCTTTGCTTTGATGAACTTTAACTTTCCTTTACCACATGAAAAATTAAATGTAATTTTTTAATATTTACTAATCAATATACGCTATCACTTCCATATCTGCTGGTACCGCTAATGAAGGCAGCCCACATGTTCGTTAGCTTTACTCTTTCACACTCCGAACGATCCATCAATCAATCAATCATTGATTTCAATTACATTCCTTAATCCTTGCCTGGCATGCACAAGGAGGCACTCGCAAACACTGAATATGACTTATTAGCATTTTGACAGCTGTCAAACCAAGAAATGCATACACTTGCAGTTGGTCGCGATTGTGTTTCCTTTTCCGATATGGTTTCCATATCCAAATCAGTTCTCGTACCACGGCAAGCTGCTCCATTACCATGACAAAGAAGGAGGTGTCCTGCCGTTCTCCTTTCGAATTTTACCACCATTTAATCTTCCAGCAATGGACAGCTGTTGCAGAGCACAGTCGTATCTTTGATGTGACACTTTTGTCAAATGTTTACACCTTTAACCCTTTGGCGCCATTGTCTTATGAGTCCAAGGGTTAAGACCCTCGAATTCGAAAATCCTACAAAATACAATCTGTGTTCGAATTGTTTATGATGCTTTGTTAATTTTATGTTTCATTAGAGTCATTTGTTAGAGTTTTATGGATTTGGAAAAGCAACATTACCTGGGAATTGTTGAATGTTAAAAGCTATGTAGAGCAAGTATGTGAATATGGATTCTAATCAATAAAATATGTTTCAGATAAAGGAGGTACTAATGGCAAAAAATTATATTTTTTATTTAGGAAATGACATTTGTATGATCCTTTAAGTTTTTTTTATGTTTAAATTGGATTTCTGTGAATCTAGCATAACCAATCTAGGTTTTTTTTTGCTATATTCCTTTTAACTTCACCCAACTCATTTGCAACACCACATAACCATGACGAAATAAAGTTATCCTTGCATGTCAGCAGCTATGGCAACAATCTCAAACCCAACTCCAGTCATTCATCAAAATTATTTCAAATCATGCAAGCGGCTGTAAAAAAATTTCCGAAAATCCTCCACGAGAATAAACAAAAAATGTTAGAAAAAATGGGAAAGCGGTAGATGCTAATGAAAATCAATGCAAAACTGCACAAATATTCGTCCAACCGCCAAGACATCAGTCTCATCATCACGGCGCATGCGCAGCTGCCTTCGGGACGAAAAGGACGACACCGCACACACATGAAGCTGTCATGTTTTTGGGCAGGCCACACCGCAGTTCATCCTCAGCCTTAGCCTCATCCTCAAACGACAGACAACAATTACAATTTTCCCTCCGCCCAACTGCAACGTCATTCCTTGTCCTCTGGACTCTTCATATTTTTCCTTGCGGCTGCCTTCAGCTGATTTGCATTTTTAATCTCATAAGGATGTGCTGCCAGGCATTGTCCTTCGAATTGTGATGTATTTTTTTTCCCCCGTGCGGTTACTCAAGCTGCAAGCCAAGATGGAAAAAAAATCTCAGTCAGTCAAGATGAAAACGAACAAAAAATCAGCCCCCTGGCAGGGGTCTTCTTGGCTGATCTACATATGTTTAATCCTGGATTTCTGACACGACAGACGAATAGCTGTCCGTCCTGCCCAAATTGTGTGAGAGTGTCTGTAATCCTCGCTGTCTTGGGACGCCTCATCCCGTCACGTTACGCTTGAATAATTAGACGTAATTAAAGTTCCTTTCACTACACGATTTTCAGTTTAGCTTTCGTGTTGTCAGGATTAGGAGTCAAGCGGATTCCTTGCTCGAATCTAATGTTTGCCGACATATCCTGCGGATGATGAGGAAGTACAAGGGAATAGACTCACATCTGCGAGGTGTTAAAGGAAGTTTGAGCATCGAATTTAATTGAATTTATGCTTAGGGAAATAGTTTATTTTAGATAAATATAATAGTATATAATCTGGAATTTAAGACTTCTAAATTTCTTAAAATGTGTTCAGAAAGGTAATCAATATATATTCTTCCTGATAATACTAATTGCTCCCTGGATGGCTCTTTTTCTTTTGATCTGAGATCACTTTTCTGCGGTTCTGGTTGATTATCTATCTCAGCATCAGATTTGGAGAGTTTAACTTTGTG